TGCACGGTAAATGTAACTTGGTGCCAGTAGAGACCAAGGAAGAATGCGCTCGTCAGGAACCATGACTTGCAGTAGAACAACACCGCGAGAACGACGAAGGTAATATAACGGACGATTTCAGGACCGTAGCCACCGATATAACGGGTCTTGTAGAGTCCTGCATCGATGACCTGTTGATGAAGCTCCCTATAGGCTCTCGAATGCTCGGCCTGCACTTTTGGGGACAGGGTAGAGGGTCCGGGCTGAAGCGTCTCGAGAGTTGGTCCGGGCTGCGTTTCCAGCTCTCCCCTACGGACGAGTAGAATTTGGGAATGTGGACTTGTCTCCGACAATTCCTCTGTAAGGGGTCGCAGAGTTGTCGCCTCGCGGTGCCATTGCATCGTCCCGCCCTTGTCGCCCTGTCTCACCCAGCCACTCATCACCGGCGGGAGGAATGGTTCCCAGCCGTGTTCTCCGATTTCCACCTCTGCAACCTCGTAGCCCCTAATCCTGCGCAAAGCTTCTTCCGAATGGAACGCATCGACCTCATCCGTTGCATTCCGACCGACGAAGTGCAGGATAGCGAGCGAGCCTCCGGGGTGTGCACTGAGCCAGGATGGTGGGACGCGGATCACTTTGCTCTGGAGTATAATTAGCGTTTCGCCGGCAAGGATGCGCTGTGCCACTTGGTCGCGCGTCCAAATGGGCTTTCCCATCTCGAAAGTCCGGAGAGCGCAAGGGGTAGGACACGAAAAAAAGAAAACTCAGTTGCCAGGTCGCGCTGGCGTCTTTGTTGCCGTTCTGCCGGGCAGTGATGGGAGGATCAGATTGATCCAGGGTCAGTGGGGGTCAGAAGTGACTGACCGGTCAGGTCAACCGACCGTCAGTTGACGGGTCAGTAAGGTCAGGCGCCCAAAATAGCCGCTGAGCGTCCATTAGCGACCAGGCTGCTCGATGCCGTCGGGGGCGGCGCAGACTCAAGAGAGAAGGTAATGATGGCAAAAACAGTCTCAACACTACGTACTTCTGACATCAAAATACATTTTGATTTTTCTCCACACTGCTGCTCTCATGTCTGTGCAACTTTCGATGGCGACACCGCTGCCTAGCGTGCTACGAAACAAACTTGGCGGGCCTCGCAAGGGAGCGTGGTGGATATTATTCAGTGACAAGAAGAGAGTTATTACAGGCTCGCAAGAAATAATGTGTCCTCGCTGCCATCTTCGAGGGGCTATAACATTGACGATGACCTCACATAAACAGCATGACAAATCAAGCCCGACCCCGGCAATAGCCGACTGACCGGTCAACAATTGACTGACCCGACTGACCCCTTTGACTGACCCCTTTGACTGACCCCTTTGACTGACCCCTAGGGTCTGACCGGTCAGGCCCGGGGTCAGTCCCAACACTGCTGCCGGGAAATAGAGAGCGTGGGAATTTAAACGATCGCGCCACAAAGATTCTGCCTAAAGCAGAGGATATCACGTGGACAGACCGACGGCGCTTATCGAGTTTCTGGCTCTGTCCAGTGTCCTCGACGTCGTCGTCTGCGCCCAACCACCCATGAAGATTGCCGGCCCTGGTAGACTTCCAACGCGGCGAGAAAATGAACGACGCTGGAAGTCAGAGAAGAAGATCAAGAGCGAGGCCTATCAGAAGAAATTGACACACACACAGAACATCTGCAGACTGCGACAGAAGTTAACCAAGGCGTCTGAAGTCGGAATGAAAGCATCTCAAAGCGCCCCGGTGCTCACCGGACAACGTAGCAAGACATGCAGGCTTAAGCGAATGTTAAGAAACAATATTCCTTCTGTGTTCACGTCTCCCTTAGCACAGAACCCTCTCGGAAACGACGTAGCTTCCGAAGGTCGCTCAGCAGCTCACTTTCAGAGGTCAGTCCACACACTTGTTATTGTCGCATAATTGACCAAGCTGTATCTAGATACCCCATGCCTACGACTCCGGAACGCGTCCGCGAGACTGTATCGTCGTCGTTCGCGGAGTTCGTTGAGTGGGATCATTCAGACGTCGAACTTGACCTCGAAGACTTTGGTGTACCATCTGGGAGAGCCCTGTCTCGGCGTAATCTTCAAGACAACGCAGCTCAGTTGGAATCTCTTCCAGGGCTGCTTTTGCCTGGATTGACGGACGATGACGACGGTGGCCACGAATATTCATTGTCTATGGACCAGCATAATATCTCTCTGGGCTCTCCTATGTCCTCTCATCTGCGTCTGCCCGCGCTGCCTCTACCAGCGGACTTGCCTTGGTTTGATCGGCTTGATTCTGCAACTCAGCCCTCCGACAATGCGCCCGACGATTCTGTTGGCTCTAGTGACCCCGGCTGTTCTTTTCCGCTGCCTGATCTGTCTATGCAATCTGCCCCTGGGCTTGACTTCGCCGCGGACGATCCTTTCTCCGACGCTACCCTTCCCATCGGAACGCTACCTAGTCTCTCTGCCGCATCTGAAACCGTTCTGCAGTCTTCCGAGCTACCCTCTCGTTATCCGCCTGGCTTACTTTGTTTCAACGAGACTATCAGATCACTTGCAGACATATCGACCAGCCAGGCTAATTGCTCCGCCTCGCTTCGGGAGTCGTTAGTTGCGGCGGCCGCAAAGCCCGTCGTGCATACCGCTGGGCCTACCTTGGACCCTTTCCCTACCCTCATAACTACCACGTCGTTGTCAAACATCCATCAAACCCGGAGGTTGGGGGAAATGTTGGCCACGTCGGTCTCTGCCACCTGTAACCGCCGCACTCTTGCTACTTGTGCAAACGGATTACACGCTGTGTCCTCGCAGTCTTTTGCGACGTCCTCAAGCTCGAGATCTGTTGCTCCTGGCTCTTGGCCTTCACGGGAGCCCAAAGCCGCATCACTTCGTAAGTGTTACTTGCATCAATTGTGCTTGTCTCATTCCTGACTTAGAGCTGTATGACCCGACGGACCGATGCATGATCCTTGTGCAGTGCCTTGAAAAGAAGCTCGCCCAATCAGCTTCCAAAGTCCGGTTCGACAACGTGGATTTGGAGATGCAACCTGTGACGAATGGTCTGGAACATGGTATAACAGTGGAAAGTGGGGAGTCTTGGTCAGTAGCCCAGCATTTTCGCTGTTTCGTAAAAAGTTTTGCGGTCGCGTTCCTAAGTCCCTGGAGATTTCTTTTGAGTCTCTTGTAGAGATGTGATTAACTCCTCATCCTGTTGTAGAGATGTGATTAGCTCCTCGTCCTGTTGGCCAGATGATCTCGTCGCTCATTGATGCCAACCCCGATCTCTCCTTGCAATAAGAACTCACTTACCTGCGTCTGTAATTCTGATTTCAATGACGTCCCGATTACACTGCACGTACCAGCGAGTTTCAGCTCTGCGGTTTGCGACAGTGAGCGTCTGCGACAGAGGGACGGTTTGATAGTCATGTGTGCGACACCGCTGGGAACAGCGCTAGCCTCGTTTCCTACTTCTGTCCTCGTCTCGCTCTGCTTTCTTTCTCTTGTTGGCTTTCCCTCTTTCGTCTTGTGCTCCTACCCTTCGTTCACATCGGGCCTGCTCGCCATATTGTAGTCATGCCGGCCATGCATCTCCGCCTAGCGCTCTTGCCGACCCTCCTGCTCTCCGGCCTTTTCTCCACAACCTATGCAGCGAATTTCACGTTTGACTTTGGCACGCCCACACAGTGCGATAATTTTCCTATATCATGGACAGGTAGGACACAGCAAGTGTGATTAAATACGATGCGCGTCCGAGCTAATCCCCCGGGGCGTCCTATAGGCGGTTCACCACCGTTCCAGCTGGTCCTTGCTCCCGTACGTTTACACATTGAAAGCAGCCGTTCATCTTTTAGAAACGCCGTTAGGAATTTGGAACACCTAGAACGATTATTGTACCCTCCCCGAGCTTCAACAATGGCCAGGGCTCATTTCAGACCCAATTGCCGTTCCCGACAGGCCAGAAGTTCCTTGCAACTATGTCTGACGCAAATGGATTCGGCTCTGGAGGAGTGACGAACGTGCTTACTGTTGGGAGTTCCGTTAGTGGTACGAACTGTAACACGACCGATCCAGGTGTGTTCGCAGTCGCCTACTCCACCGTAAAGCTAATCGCCACATAGGTGTGGATTTCTTCTTCGAACTCAACACCGCATTGCAACAGTGCAGGTACGTCTCAGTGCATTAATATTCGCAGGAGAGAATCAGCATCTTGCAGGCCATACTCATTCGACAACTACACGGGAGCCGTACAACCGGTCACTATCATGGTGCGTCTTGTCGAAGTACGGTTCGTAAACAGCTACTGATCGGTACTTTCACCAGGGTGTTATTCCTGGGGGTGAAACCTTCACCCTCAATCCGCCGAGCGGGCTAACTACCTTCGAGTGGGTAGCTGACTTAGCAAACGGGATCTCCGTCATGTGGATTATGAGCGATTCGGAAGGCCGCAAAGGTGGCAGCTCGGATGTGAAGCTGGTCGGTATCACGGACGATGCGACTTGCCTCAACGCGGACTCGCCAACATCTCTCTCCGCGACACCATCCGCCACTGCGTCACTGTTTCCGTCGTCAAATGCGGCCGCTGCTTCATCTCAAGGCGCAAGCCCCTCCGACTCCGCCTCTGCAGCGGGGGGCACTTCGAAGTCCGGATCAAACACAGGGGCTATCGTAGGAGGCATTTTAGCGGGACTCTTCGCTCTTATCGCTATCATAGCGTTGGTTCTTTTTTTCCTCCGACGTCGGAAGAGCCGCTCAACAGCGTACTACGATGGTGAAGGCTACCCATACCGACCACGTCGCGGAGGCAGATTGGAAATAGTTGAGCTTGATGCGCCGGTTACCATGGAAGATGGGCATGTGGCATCTGTCGTCCATCCATATCCTTATTCTGCTCCCAGCGTCGTACAATCATTGCCCGGCAGCGGAGCGTCTGCGCATAACACGACCGCTTCCGCTCACCAACTGCTCCCAATTGGCGCGAGTTCCCAGTATGACGGCCATACAGAATACACCACGAACATGGCGAACCCGCATAGCGTTCCCTCTGAATCGGCGTACTCGCGCCACCGCCCATCGGGCTCAGATCTCGGCGCCATGTCGACAATCGATGGAACAACAACTTTCCGGGGGGGCGAGACTTCAAGCATGACATCTTCCGCGAGGCGCAAGGCGGCTATGGCCGGTGTAACGTCCTACAAGCCGACGCGATACATTGTCCATCAAGACCTGGAGGAGGCTGTTCCGCAAAACGATAGTGACGTCGTTGAGCTGCCACCACAGTATAGCGAACGGCGCGCGCCTATACCCGCGCTCAACTACGCCACGCCACCCCAGGGCTCGCCTCCGAGCACGGCGAACCCCCTCGAAGTGGTAGAAGCAGGCTCGGGCAGCGGCCTCCAGCCGCCGCTGCAGCCCGAGACCCCAACAACCGCGACATTGCCCGCTCCCAGATCATAGCATGGCATTTAACTGTATTTTCTCTGCCTTCGTATTCTGTGCAAATTATCTCTTCGTCCTATGGCCTTTTACTCCTACCACCACATCTTCACTCCTTTGGACTATTTATCTGCATATATAATGTATCTCCAGAGAGGAACTCTTCGCTTACAGACTCTTGTTCCCGGTATCCTCCAATTCGAATAGCTGGCTCGAGCTCATGCATACTCTACGGACGGCTAGAGGTACGAGTGGAAGGGAATATGTTGATGTCGCATACACTGGGGAAAGAATGGCGCAGCGACAAGGGGTGGTCCTCGCCGCGAACACTCTATAAATGCTGCAGATAAGATGGCGCAGGATACAGTGTGCAGCAATATACTACGAGACAAGAGAAGAGAAAGGGAACACAAGTAGATAGTACACATTACAATCGTCAAACGGATCCAATCAAGCTTGAACACGTTAGTGTCCAACCGTACAGGGTCAACAAGAGGCGTTATATGATTAACAACATGCGGGCCGTTCGCCAGAGAGAACGAGCTAGTGATTCATGTCATCGATCCCAGTCTTCGCAAATGCGGTGACCATGGCTTCCTGGTCCTTACGCCGCTTGTGGCGCTTCCGTCTGTCATCCTTTATGACCCGGGCAACACGACGCATATGTGAGCCTTGAATCTCTGGGTTAGCCCCGATGTGCTTGCAGGTATAGCACGAGAGTTCGATGATGGCAAGCAGACGGAGAGTCTCCGAGTTATTCAACGCCTGTGCATGTTACAAGGATGAGACCGCATTAGCTTCGATTGCGGTTAAAAATCCAAGGGCGCACATTGAGAGACCACGAGATGACGCGCCCTCCTTCTACACAGCTTACAACAACGAAGTTGCCTCGCTTCTCTGCTTGGAGAGAGGCACCCTGATCGGGTCCACTGTGTCAGTCACACGGCATTCGCACAATGCCACTGGACGATTACCTCGTGGAAGGCAGTGACAACCTTTCTTGACGAAGTAGCACGGACAACTAAGCATGTTTAAGTACTTAAGCTGTGCAATGACGGGGTGAGAAAAAGGGACATACCGATGCGTGAGCCTTGGCCGAACGATTCTTGAGTGACGACAGCTCGGCCAACATAAGACCAGTTGTCGCGCTCTGGTCGCCGCACATGCACTTTGACCGGTATCTCGCGGAACTTATCGCGGTTGTTCGCTGTTGCACTAATGTTGACTGTGGATGGCAAACAGTTGGATTTGGAAGTTGGAGCCGCACAGTGAGAACAAGGCCGCTGTTGCGCGAACATGGAGTCGGACACACCTGACATTGAGGAGTCGCTTAGATCCATTCCCTGGGGTTCGTCCATGGTTAGCTGTGGTTGCACCTGAGGTTGAGGCGGGGGGACTGCAGTGGGAGCCTCTGTGTCGGTTATGTTCATGTCCGCTTCCTGCGGAGCGAGGCCGCGAGTTGGGTTTTGTCAGCGGTGATGCTCTGTAGTGTACCAGACAGTGAAGACGTACTATCTCCATGTCGAGTGTCGGTATATGGTAGTTGTTGCCGTCGGTGTTGAAGGTGTAAGCTGGGCTATGTCGGCGGTTGTCCTACAAGGCGGCTTGAATAAATGGCCGGGCATGCACAGGGAAGAACCGATCACGTGGGCAATCCATGGCTCCCAAGTCCTGCGAGACGCGTCGCGCGCGCCAGGGCGATTGTAATTAACATACGCGTCTTTCGAGCCGCTGGCACTCTCTATCGTCCCCTCTCGAGCTCTTCCTTTTATCCCACAACATCTAGTATGACATGTTTTCTCACTTTCAGCTCCCCGAGCATTCTCCAGACATAGTCAGCTCCGACGTACTACTCTCCTCCCTCTCCGTTTCCAAAACCACACCTTCAGAAACTGCAGTTTGCTCAGGGCCACAATGTTCTCGATAAGTTAGGCTCGTCCCAAGGTGATCAATTGTCCAGATCTGCCTTCCAAATTATCCCCGATGGCGATAAACTGTAAGAGATATGCAAGGAAGGTGCAGTACGCAAGTGAGGGCTGAAACAAGTGCAGCGGGTTGGCTCGCTCGGTATCGTGAGAACCTTGCCGTATTTGCCGCAGGAGAGGGTGAGGACGGAGAGTGGAAGCCAATTTAATACTCGGAAGAGCACTGTAGCTCTCCTGTGGCGTCACTAGACGAAGCAAACACTTCTTGAGCTCAGCCAGCCTCCCCCGCTGAATCGGACGAAAAATTGGGGAGCGACGAGATTAATAACGCGATGGAGAGCTAGTTGTACTCCCCTTTCAGGGACAAAAACGCGACGCCTGTAGCGATGGCAGGAAACTTGTTCCATCAGCTGCACCAGAAACGGATTGCTCCGGAACCGGAGGAAGGGGGGGGGAGATCCGAACGATTTTCGTAATGCTCAAAGACATTTCCGACCTTCTTGGAGATGCTGTATTGACTGAAAGCGACATCGAAACTGTGTCGTTCATCGTCATAACGAACGCGAGCTGAGGATATGACATTGACCACTTAATCCGACAAGATTCTTGGACGACGCTCGAGTGCCTTCGGCAGTGTACCGTGGACGAGGAATAATATAAGCATTTTCGAGAGTCATCGTTGTTCAGGGGCAAGATATGGTCCCGCTGCAAGGCACAAGTTCCTAGGTGTAAACTGCACGTCAATGATGGGTGTCCGTTTGGTAGGGAATGTCGCCAGCAAGTCCGTGCTGTCGCCCAACTATCAGCCTTTCTCATAGACATCTTCGTAATGTTAACTACTCACGTCTGAATGTTTTCCTCGTGCTCCTTCCCTGAGCCGCTCGCAAGTACATCAGCACTATGCTCCGATGTGCCGTTGACACCATTGGTGATCCCGTTAACGCCGTTCTCTCGGGCCTTGCTGGGCTGCCCGCCTACACTCTTCACATCCCAGCACCGCACGGTCCAGTCTGCTCCGCCACTCACGAGCAGCGAGGACTCGGCACTAAAAGCAAGAGAGTAGATGGACGCGGTGTGACCGGTCATCTTCTTAATGCGCTTCCCAGAGCCAATGTCCCAGAGATTAATTGCAAGGTCCTCGCCCGCAGTGGCAAGGTATCGCCCATCGGGGCTAAATGCAAGCGTCGAGACAATTCCTTGATGTCCGATGAAGACTCGAACGCAGGAGCCTTTTTGCACGTCCCATAACCTCGCGGTCCAGTCACTTGAACCGGTGGCGAGGTAGAGCGAGTTGGGATGGAACCGTACACACTAAAGAACGCAATGTAGGTTAAAGAATGCAATGCCTCGAAAGAAAGCCCATACGTCGACATCACTTAGATGGCCAGCATATATGCGCAGCGCCGACGTCCGGTCTGTCGACCACAACCTTGCCGTCTTGTCCCTGCTCGCTGTCGCGAAATAGATACCCATCGGACTCCACTGCACGTCCCACACAGGATTCTGGTGTCCTCGGTAAGCAACAACGTTCGACATGGTGTCCAGTGACCACAAGCGAGCTGTTGCATCCGCAGACGAGGAAAGCAGATAGCGTGGTGGACCCGCTGAGCCCGAGATCGGATCGAAATCGACAGAGCAGACGGGCCCGCCGTGGCCGATCAGCTTTCGGGTCGTCGAACCTCCTTTTTCTCGCTGTTTGCGCAATGAAGAGGCTGGATAGACATCAGCGAAAAGCGTCATGATGTAGCAGAAATATCCTTACCGTCTTTGGCCTGGCTTGATTGGAAGTCACTTCGGTAACCTTTGAGTTTCTCGCCCTTGAGACTCCATAATCGAATATAACTCTCAGAAAACCCGGCGGCCATTATAGAGGTATCTTGTGAGAAAGTTATACATGGTACGCTGCCGAAACAGTCAGCAAGGCCCGTCAGTAATACAAGATAGACTTACCCTTCTCCGATATCATGTAGGGTATATGCACATATACTCGGCAAAGCTCTTGCTCTCGCTGCTGCAGCTTGTGGAGAATTCGGGTTTATACCGTTCAGGTACGCAGGCTCCAGCTTGATTCGTTTCCTTGCGTCCCTAACTTTCTCGACCTCTCGCTTCACGTCAATTGCTTTGAATGTCGGAGCATGTGGCGGTAAGTCTGCGAGCGAAGGAGAAACGAGCCCAGATGCCGACGGCCGCAAGTATTGTGCGTCGAGCTGCCCATTGGGATCCCGCTCGAGTAATGCCTTCTCCCGCAGCTCGCGCTCGGTTTCCTGCTGAAGTTCCTCTAATAATGGCGCAGGTCCGAGTTTCAGCTCTCCTCTAGATGCATTGAATGATAAGGCATCCTTAAAGCCTGTTTGCGGTAGTAGTGGTGACAGGGCACCTGTGGTCTCTTCCCATGCATTCGGCGACATAGATGCCGTCGTCGACGTTGTGACTGTCCTGTCTGTAAATAATTGTTCGTAGTAGAGTAAGGAGATGCTTTACCGTCAAACTTCAGGTGATTGTTCACTACCCGCATGACCGCCGCACGCCCTCGCTTGCCGCGTTCGCCGGTAAAGCCATCCCCAGAGCCTGTCGCTTCGCCACCCACACCTTCTGTGAGCCAGCCGACTAACAGACTAAAGCCAGACCGGCTCATGCGTATTTGATATTTCTCATTCCGGAAGCGTTGGGCGAGTTCGTCGTGTTGGACATGTGACGGTAAGAGCAAGGTAGAGAGATGGTGAATAACTTGGTTGTGTTGAGCCCGCAACAATGGAGAGAATTCTTCATAAAACCTCAGAGCTACGCAACGAGTTAAAGGCAGCCTTGGGGAGCGATAATTCGTGATACGCACCCGCGTCCTTGAAACCTTGTTGTATCAGGTCCAAGTAAAAATGAACGAATATTGGGAATAATATTGGTCGAAACTCGGGCTAAATAGACAGTTAACCTCCGCTTGCGTATAAATCAAGGTGCGCACCTTATACATATCTAAAGAGCCGTCCACCCACGCTTCAAGCTCTCGGAAGCCCTCCTGTTTGTCGGTGGGGTCAAGGGACAGTATCTCCTCGGCACCGACAGGACCGATACTAGATATCAATTTCTGTATGTCCTGTTGCGTGCTTATGCCACCGAGTTCCTGCGCGACTGCCCCGGAGTCTTTGAGGGTATTCTCGCCTGGTCGAGTAGGTTTCTGTGCATAGACCGCTATCCGGTTCGCAAGGTCCTCTGGCGAGATAGTATTGGATGTAGATGGGCCAGGTGCCCCTTCACCGGGTGAAGATGTCTCTAGAGATTCTCGTAATAACTTCTCTGCTGCAGCATGGCCCCGAGAACGGAGGTAATCGAGCACAAGTTTGTCGGTGGCATTCAAATTAGCGGTGGACGGGTCTGGAGGGTTCGTGGCCGCTGGTGACTGAGCATCGGGTGTAGATGCTGCGGGGGTTGCGGTGGACATGGCTGTGTGCGTCAAGAGAGGTCAGTGCATGAGGTGTTAGGCGGAAGTGAGATGCGCGTTGAGATCAAGAACGCGTTTGAACGTGGCCTGTCGCGCGTCTTGCGCCTTGCTCTTTCCCCGCCACTCCTTCGTCCGACCTCGCATAACTTATGAACTAAATCTGTTTAGGTTGCGATACAGTGTAGGATACGGCGATGTCTGACGATGATCCTATCTTCGTCGCTGGGGACGGCAGTCCGCTCAAGATTTTTGTCGAGCCGACTGACGTACCGGACAGGGCGGCAAGGCTCATAAAGAAACTCAAGGTATAGTAGACGACTACCTGCATGCGCGTTGCTTATCATTCGCCTTCCGACAGAAAAGTGGTGCAGATATAAGGATTAGTCCTAGGGATGCTGATATAATTGTCGTGGGCGAAGATGTTGACATTCGGCGCAAGGTGGTGAATAGCAGCAAGGACAAGATTATCCTGGATTATAAATGGGTTCAGGCCTCCTTGAAGCGTGATGCAGCTTACTTGGACAGGGAAAACTGGGGTCGATACCGAGTCTTTCCTGAAGACCGAGAAGACGAGTGCGTGTTAGTACATGCTGTCCACGGAGTTAGCCAAGAATTGACTCTAAAAAGTGCACTACCTACTCCTAGACCTACGCCCGTCAACGACTCCGCTTCTGCTCAGAACACTGTATCGAACTCTCTGGCTGCCCATGTACAACTATTACCCTCGCATATACCCACCGCTCCAGCTCAGTTTTCGTACCCTCTCCCAAACAGCCAACTCAACCCGCAATTGACGACCCTGCTCCAGCAGCTAGTAGCTGCAAATAGCTCCGTCCTTCCACAGCAGTCTGCACCTCATACTCAACATTGGGCCGCGGATCCTGCCACTCTCCTTTCGGGCCCAACCATGCTGATTCCGGTGCAGCTGCAGCAGCGAATTCTTGACCACATGCTGAGCCTGTCGCCCAATAGCAGTCTTAGTTGGCAGCTCGCTCAGCTCGTCGAGCAGTTCACTAAGCAGCAGGCCTCCGGCCACGGTATCGTACCTGGGCTGTCCACGCTTCCCCAGATTAATCATGCCCCTCTTTCCTCCCCTACGCAACCGCACATGCCTCCTCCACTCTCCGGATACAATCATATGTCTGCCCCACCTTTCACATTCCAGCAGGGTAGCTCGAGTAATCTGCCTTCATTCGGACAAGCGGGTTCAACGTCAGCATCGCATCCATCTGAATCCATTTCGGCAACGGTCCCAGTCAAGCGTGAGCGTAAGTCGCGCAGAACCTGTAGTCATAGGCATCTCAAACTGACCTTTTCCCGCAGGGCTAGGCAGAGACGACGCTTCTTCCCGCCAGAAGAAGCATCGGAAGCCCAGCGCTGAGGACAGCGACGATGAGAGACAGGCCCGTGCAACCCCGGAGCGGTCAGCTAAGGAAACCCCAGGACGTACGACGACTACCGCCCGTACAGTTTTTGTCGATAGAAAGGGAAGACCTATTCCTATCTATGTGCAACACGCAAAGTGGCGAAACAAGTACGTGCCGGATATCCAGAAATTCGGTGGGAAGATTGTCGCGAACATTGCGGACGCAGACTATGCAGTGCTGTTCACCCAGGCATTGGGCTCCTGGGACTACCTGCGCACCGCGGTCGAGGCTGGCACGCCTGCGGTGAAGGCTTTGTACATCACGGATTGCCTCGCCAAGGGCAAGCTCCTCAATTCTTCCGCGTACTCCTTTGAGGGTTCTCAGTTGAAAGACGAACATGGGAACATGTACGTGGCGAAGTTGGCCGAACTTCGCGCGCAGTCGAGGGAGGAAAAGCAAAAGAAAGCCCCAAGGAATCACCAAAGCTCTTCGGAAGAGGAAGAAGAGGAGGAGGAAGAGGAAGTGAGCGAGGACGGTAAAGCAGTCAAGCGAAAGAAATTGGCCGGTAACCGCTTTACGGAGGAAGAGTTGACTCGAGCACGCGAATATATCAAACAACTTTTCGAGAAGGAGCCTAATGCATCTAGCGCGGCAGTATGTCAGGCGCTCTGCCAAAAAGTGAGTGGTCGCCTCGTTGACCTTTCAGCATGCTAATGTCTCCTCAGATACCCACCCACAGTGCCGCCTCATGGAGCTTTAAGCTCGGCGGATTCGAAGGTTCTATCGAACTTGCTCGTAAGCAAATGAAAGCTAGAGCAAAAGCTGAGCAAAAGCCTGCGAAAGAAGATAGTGCACTGGCAGATCCCGCGCCCGCATCGCCGCCAGCCCAGCCAATAGCCGAGCCTCAACCTTCTGCTCCAGAGCAGCCGCAAGAAGGCCCTTTCCATGAGGATCTTGCTGCGATCGTGGACCAATTTGTGCAGGTGGTCAATGGACAGTACAACAATGAAACTGACGAAGAAGTGTTCGCAATTCTTTCGGACAGGGTGCGTCAAAATTGACAACTCGTCTGAATCCGCGCCCCATACGTTCACTAATGCTTTGAACGCAGGCTGCTTGCAGGACTGCGGCTTCTTGGCAAGAATTCTACACCAAATATCAGGACGTCATTGAAAACCTAGTTCAAGAATTTACTAGCAGTACACAACAACCGGCATGATTTTCGAGAACGAAATGGACATTATTCTTTCATGTTTATATATATATTATCCAAACATGTCATGTGTCTGGACAGTTTTCGGCCACGGTATGGAGGGGGACGTGCGAAGCAATACAAGATCATTTACGTAGGGAATACCCGCAGAAGTGGCACCGTACAGGATGATAGATCTTGCTTGTCAGGCATATGTCGAAGTTCGGGACTCTCAAGTTTTCTAGAGACAAAACCGGTATTCTTTTAACAGCGCATGCAGATATCTATTGGATGATCCCGTACTGGAGGATGACATGTCCTGGATGTAACGCAACTGTTCATTCCTGAGTTTGACTGCTAAGACTTGGATGAGGCTGCTTGAAGAACCGCTTTCTTCTTTCCTCCTTAGTTTCTTCCGAAGAACCCGCGATGTCCCCGCCACCGTAATCGAAGGTTCCGACAGCGGCTCCGAGGACTGCGCAGGATGCAATGGCAGCTGGTATTGAGCGAGCTGTGGACGGAAAGGATGAGCGGAACTGTTGTGCGGGCCTAGATGCACACACACCACGGATGCCGGCCAGGAAACCTGCTGCACAACCTCCAGCAACACCATTCAACGCGTCATCTTTTTGTCTATAGTTTCCAACGACGGACTCAGTGAAGGCGAAGGTCGCGCCCATTGCGGCTAGTGCGAAGAGCAGCCGTTAGCCCCGAGGCGTTCAGAGTTGCCGCCAAGCCGGATAGGAAAACGTACCAAAGACACCAATTGTGCCCCCCGATCGCGTGAAGAAGCCAGCAGCACCTTTATTGTGGGTGCCGAGAGCGTTCTGTATTGCACTGACGAGGGCACCGATGCCGGCGCCCTGGAGGCCAACAGCCGCGGCGTAGCGCAGTGAAGGCCGGGGCTCGTATGTTATGTCTGGCTGTACCGAAGTTTCGCTGTGCGACTGAGGGGCTTCAGCCATGGCGGTGAGTGTAGTGTGGGCGGCGTTCGCGAGTCGGCCGGAAGCGCGGACACTCGGGTTCTCGATTTGGACATGAAGTTCACGCGTTCACGCTACGTCTCTCTTATTTTCCCTTCTGCACCTTCGCGGCCCGTCAGGGCTTCGTCTACACTATAGTCGCGTTTACGCCCTTACAGCTTGCGCATGGACATGCAGGCCAGTCCATGGTACAGGGATACAGCCAACACAACGCCATTTGTGCTCTCCAAGTTCGCCTGTGTTCGTCTTATTCTAAGCCTAGCATTTCGCGATCTCACGTTCGGTTCTTGTTCAGTCAAAGGATGCACCATCATTTAGCGTGTGTGCGACCTTTCCGTGGCACACGCGGTCGTTAGACAGCGACTTATCTCTCGGTCGGCTGCGCGAGGAAAAGCAAGACGAGTGGCAAGAAATGGTCCGAACTTGGGGCGGCAGCATCCTGATAGGCAGCCACGGTTGCGCCTATATCATGCATAAGCAAGGGACTCTCGGCTATGTGAAAGTGCCTCGGCCAGGCTTCGTGAGTGGTATTTGACATGTTATAGGAAGAATATCGCTGAGGGTTCTCGACTACAGAAAGAGCCAGATTCTACGGTACGTGCGGTCGGCTGGGCCTTGTTGCCCACAGCTGTAGTAGAACCTCTAGCGGTCATCGCCGCATCTAGGTCGATTTTTATTGTCAGCTTAAAGTCGTTGGCTATTGTTGGCAAGCTCAAGGGACATGGTGATGTAAGAGGTCTGATGATGTCGATAAATTGCCGCTCTAATTTATCCCTCTTCCAAAGGAAATACTGTCTATTGCGGTTCACCCACGGCGGCCATACATGTTCTTGACAACCTCGAGGGACCAGACCTCAAGGCTCTACGACCTGTCGTACAAGCCACGACAGATCCCCAACAATCCACACTGGTTACCAGCCAAGCGACCAAGCTTTGCAGGAACGGCTTTCGGGATGCATTCGTCTGAACCAGAAGGTGAAGGTATTGGACGTTGTGTTGGGGTGCTAGTAGGCGGTCGCGCGGGCGGACATGACGGCGCCGTGTTCCATGCAGTAGGTGCATCAGCTATGTGGCCCACACAGCCACTAATGCGGGGAGACGGCAGGCATGGCATCCTTGTGCAGATGTAATAGCCACGTGCAGTGTATGTAGCGCCACTCACCTGTCTTACACTGCTGCTGAACGCGTGCCAGATGGATCGTACAGTGAAGATTTGGCGGATACCCCAGGTTGATTACGTGAAAGTCAAAGAGGATGAAGAATTTCTTGCGAGGGAAGACAAGCCGCTTTTCAGTACCAATTTGCTGCACAAGTCCAGAGTTCTCGGTATAGCTTGGTAGGCACTCCGGACGCGTTTGTCTTGTAGATAGCGAGCTCACGCGTTGCGACAGGATAAATAGCGATACCCTCATATCATACGCCGCACCTTCTCTCATGCGAGGTGAGCGTGCGAGCGAGATGTACGAAGCACCAGGCGAGGGTCAGAGCGCAGTCGATGCTTTGCAGAACCTCCGTCATACTAACAGAGCAGAATAGTGGCTGTTTGGCAGTGGCTTGGATACTCGCGCTTTCTCAAAAAGGGGCAAGTCCGACCAATAATGAGAGGTTCCGTAATGGTAAGCTGCCGGCGTTGCGTACGGAAGTATTATATTAAATCTGCGTGCGTAGGACTATCAAAACAGTGGTCAGTGTGACTGGCTCTCCAGCGTTAACGAGTAGGTCTCATATGTTCTGCAGAATCCTTCAGAGTCCACGCTGTATATGCACTGCCTGTGCACTGCCCCAAAGTACACTTCTATGTCTCACCCCACCTAAACCACGATCCCATGATGCTAGTCCCTGACGGCAAAATCATCCGGGTGTTCAACATCTCGCATTTCAAACCGAAGACGCCTCCTAATTTCCCTCTCGCTCGCCCTATGAAGGCTACCCATCCCAACGCAGGAGACAGTAATACTTCGCAGCTCGCAGCGACGATGTTACAGGTGTTGAACGTCGAAGACCAGGCCGACGGCGGCGACCCGGATGAAGATGACGGAGACGATCCGCCAGCCGTGTACCCCATACCGAAGCCAGTGAAGAAGCTCTTCAACGAGGTGCCCACGTGGATTGTTAATGGTGAGCTAGCGAGCGAGGTCCACTCTGCTTTGCCAGTCATCGAAGTATGTGAATTAGCATGGGGTGGACAGGCAATTGTTGGTGTCGGGAAGAATGGAACGGTCTGGCTGTGGTATCTGCGAGACCGGCGTCCCTGACCCTTAAATGTCTAAACCCGTACCGTACCGTTACATATGCGATCCTTCCGAGGGGCTCAACAGCAGCGTGGTATGTTCCCAGTCTCAAATCGTCCTATTCTTCGAGTGATGCTACGACTAAAGAATGTAGAATGTAATACGAACTCAGTCCGTAGCCTGAACGGCAAGGATATCAAATCCTTCTCTGCAAGAGTGTCCATCTCACACACAACCACGTATTAACAGCCGCCGTCCCCCTCTGCCATATGCATAGACAGCTGGTTAGTCATCGGAAGATGGTCCGACTGCAGACGGTGGACAACACACCTTAGTAGTACTCGATGAAACCATCAATTTGAGCGTGTTGCAATTTCAGAGGTTGTTGTCGCGCTTCGTGCTCTGGCTGGGGTCATAGAGCTCGATGGTGCCCTGCGGCGACTTCGTGGCGACTTCCACAGGGATGCTGCTCGTGTCACGCTTCGTGCTCTGGCTGGGGTCATAGAGCTCGATGGTGCCCTGCGGCGACTTCGTGGCGACTTCCACAGGGATGCTGCTCGTGTCACGCTTCGTGCTCTGGCTGGGGTCATAGAGCTCGATGGTGCCCTGCGGCGACTTCGTGGCGACTTCCACAGGGATGCTGCTCGTGTCACGCTTCGTGCTCTGGCTGGGGTCATAGAGTTCGATGGTTCCCTGCGGAGACTTCGTGGCGACTTCCACAGGGATGCTGCTCGTGTCACGCTTCGTGCTCTGGCTGGGATCATAAAGCTCGATGGTTCCCTGCGGCGACTTCGTGGCGACTTCCACAGGGATGCCGCTCGTGTCACGCTTCACGTAAGCACGGATGGTATTCAAGGCGGCGGGCTCGCGTCGCTCAAGCGCTTGGTGAGCAACGGCGCGCTATCAGCCTGTGAGCGCCGATTGAGAGCAAGTATATGCAGCAGTACGCACGCGAAGGGGCATAGGCATGGGAGCTGCCATGGCCTGCCCAGCAACGAAGGCTACAAGGGCCGCGAGGAGGAGTTTGCTAGCGGAGAACATTGTCGGCTTGTGCGAACGGGTAGGTAGCGTCAAGGGATGGAACTCTCAGAGCGACCGAGGAATGGAGCGTCGGTTCAACCGTTCAAATAAAGGTCGCACAGCGGCCTGGGAGAGAAACGAAGAAGCTAAAGAACAGTGAGCATACATACTACGGTATAGATACTGGGAGCACTTACGAAGGAACGAGGAAAGGGAAAGCTGAGTGCAAAGAACACATCCGAACCAGATATATGTAGGAAAAGCAAATTTGCGCTCGCCGTTGATATAATTCGTTGCCCGTCGGTAACCATGGTAGTCTCGTTGCCATGCACACATCAGATCTCAGAAGAAAGGACCAGAAGTGCTTTGAGCGCTCCTCACCTGCAAAGACTGAACCATCTACACTCCTTAAGCCACGCCCCTTGCCGTCATTGAATTGCGGCGTCATTTCTGTAGCGGACATACAGACCTTGGGTAGTCTGCGGTCTTGAGTTGAATCAGCAGACAACGGCTTCGGCAGGTTTCTGATCCCGACGCTAACCGTGACTGTTCAACGTTCGCTGCCAGCAAGGTGTGAAGTTACTCGCAGGTACTGTGCCATCGTCCGACGATTCCCACCACTACCCTTTTCCTGTCAAATGCTACGCCATCACAGGCTGCCTTGTTACTGTGGAGAAGGCGAGCGATGTCCTACCACGGGCAGTCAATATCGCATGACGGCTGTGTATATCTGTGATTGGTGTAGTTAGCTACCTGGACAGATCGATGTTACGTGCCAGCGTTGTGCGATGTCCAACCGAGCCGTTACCTTCCGGTACTCAGCGCTCAGTACTCAGTGCTCACGACAGAATCGAGACTAGTGTTGCGTCAGAAAGGTGGGTGTAAATTACATGTAAGTAAATGAGTAAGTAAATTACTGTAAATTACATTGTTTACAGCGAGGCCCGGATAGGAGGTGTAAGAAAGGGTCAAAAACTCCCCAAATGCCCAGAGCCCGTTGTGCAGCGCTAGCGGAGAAAACACACTCAGGCAGAGATCTCGAGAGAGGCATACGCGTGCATCCTACCTGAGTTGATGAAAATTCTACTGCTTGCACTCCGCCCACACCATGTCCGACCTCTCATGGATAGTGTCAGACAGAATGCCTGCCATGTATGCCACGTACAATGGCTTCAACTATTGCTATTCGCTCCACCTCTCAGTGGGTTAGGAACCAAACGGAGATGCACGCTCCTACTTCTCCCTGACAGATCCGTCACCATTAAATACTGGCTGCCTGCTCCTAACTTTTATTACCTGCAACTCCCCAGTGACAATTCTTCATGACGTAGCTGGCAATAATTAATAGTGGGACCAGGGCTTCCGTTCAATTATTTTCAGTGGTCATAAGCATCCCTTCGCGGTACTCTACTACTGGATGCTTGCACATCAGACGCACGACACCCAGATTCTGTGATGCATGGCCTTTGACAGACTCTCCTTGGCTTCCGGTACACTGAACACCAGCTTCATTACCACAGCTCAAGTTGCCTTGGGTAACTTTGTGGCAGTACTAGCAGGGCAGTCACAGTCTCGCTGGCGGTAATATCACATCATCAGTAGACCATCTCTCAAAGTTTCTCAGCAGACAGACGGCTGGACAACGTCAACATCGACCAGATGCTGCCTGTTCTCGAGGCGAAGATCGCAGCATTGGATTGGCAGCGCCATGCACCGGGCGCTGACGAAGAAGCTTCTGGGGCGACAGCGCACATGATCCCGAAAAGAGCACCAAAACTATGCGCTGTTGGCAGTGCCCTTTGAAATGGCGAGGCCTCTCATCTGGGGAGCGTCTCATCTTTCTGACCTTTTCTTACCGTTATTGACCGTAATTTACTGTAATTTACAGCGGGGTAAGCGAACCGTAGCCTCCGGTAAATAATGTAAATTACAGGGCTTATTTACTTACAGTAGGCCCTGGACTTTCTTATACGTTACTTACATCCCCGGGGACTTTCTGACTCAACACTAATCGAGACTCGTCGCTGTGGGTCACAAGCATCATCGTGTATCATAAAAAGTAGTCAGGCTTCCAGCCTCCATAAAACAACTCGCGCCAGAAAATCTCCTGGCTGGCCTGACAGTGGGGTACCGCGAAGAGCAACATCTGTTTATGAGCTGGTGTTATACAATTGTTGGTATCTCCTTCACGTAGTCCAGTGCACAACGGGAGCCATTTATGATATCTTCGCATTCGAGAAGTCGAGTTCAGGGTGCGCTTGCTGGAACTTCCTAATGGCCTAGCAAAGAATGAGATCCTGGCAGGCCACCATATACACTTATAGAATGATCTACCTCCGTTTTCTTGATCTCATCCGAAGTAGGCTTGCCCATTTGCTAGCGTACATATAAGACAGACGAACCTCAATTGCTGGGTTTAAACCAACCTTCTGCTGGTTGTCGAACTGAATACCTGGTCAGCTGTCAGTTAACCGAGCAACGAGGGAAAGCATTCACCATCATCTTCTCAACCATAGCTCTGCAGTAACGCATTAGCATAACCCAAGATGCTGCCAACAACGTCCTACCGAGTCTCCGCATCGAGATCGCTCAGCCTGCTGTCCTGCGGGACAATCTTCTTCGTGTCGATCTTGGGGTGGTGTGTGAGCACATTCTCCCACCATTGCTGCTGGTTGAGTTTCTCGAGATGAACTAGAACTGTCTGTTGATCCTCTGTACGCAACCTGTCAGCTAAACGACAAGTTTCCATTTGCACACACTGACCAAGCGTCCAAGCACTGTCTTCCACCTTGATCTCCTTGCATAGTCCCCCCGCCATGATGGGCTCCTGACCCTTCAAGCCAACGCTAAGCTTCTTCTTATGAATGACTACATCTAGTTGCCTTGAGCGTGTGCCCTTAGGTACAGGAATCTCTATATCGACGTCGGACAATTGCTGCTTCCAAGTGTAAGGCAAGGCTGCAAAGTGTAAGCGCTATTTCCGCGAACAAACTTCGACTATACCTGCTTGCTCTGCTGCTTCACGCTCACGATCGGCCTTATCGCGAGCCTCTCTTTCCTCTTTGCCGAGGCTGTCGTAGTCATCACTGGTGGTCGACATCGCGGGTTCAGGTCAAGTACGTATTCGGTTAAAGCACGTGATGCTTTCCTACTCAGCCTTTAATTTCCCACGCTTTCTAAGAGAGGGTAAGCAAGTGAGAGACCGTCCTCGACGAACTTCCCTCCTGACTTCCACCCGAGGCTGGCGGATACGACGCTCGATACCCTTGGGTCGCACAACGGCGGCTGCTAACTGAAAATGTCGAGTACTGACATGTGGGCGGACTTCGAGGTAACTGGCTGCTTCTTCAAGTCCCGTGCACGCCTCGTTCTCACTTGCCTTCTCCCACCTCTCGTCATTCCTGGCTTCCGTTCCTAGACTATACGGCACAACGTCAAACATAACACTGTTGAACGCCTGAAACAAATTATACTGACCTTCAACGAACAATGTGGCACTAGCTTCACTAAGACTGGCAAGAAGCAAGAACTCATCGACCGGATCACGCGAGAGCTAGACCTCTGGCGACGGACGGGCAACGTAGATAGGTGGCTGAAGGCTAAGACGATTCTGAGCCAGGCTCGCAGTATGTAAGTTTCGACGAGAGCCATTTTATCAGCCTCCCCGGTCGGGTGCTGCATCTTGTTGCTGCGAGGCGATGCTGACCGTATTCCGCTATGGGCAGGTACACCACTTACGTTCCTCAGCCGAGTTCTTATGGCATACCACCGCAACCACACTATGGCACGTCTACATCCTCTCACTATCAGGCCCGCCCACTAGGAACTAGCTCAATGTCAACCTACGATCCTTACGCCGTATCACGAAGACCGGGGATGCCCGCCTCTCCCTCCGCTGCTCCTTCGAGCTCTACTACCCCTGGTGCGTCTTTTTGTCATTCGTGTCAAATTGTCTAACCGAGAAGCAGGCATACAATTCAAACATTCCCCTTTCTTCCGCATTGAGCGTATCATCTCATCCGTCGTTGAGTGCCCTGGTGCGTGTCTTTCGAATATATCATCCACTATTTTTATGTCTTGTCATCAGAATCAAGCAGCCAGATGGATCGTAGACAGCAATCTGTGTCATTCTACATAACCAACGATATTATACAGAAACTTGATTCTAAGAGGTGAACCAATTCATAAGCTTCATGGCCAAGTGACTGATACACCCAAGCCCTAAATACCAGCTTCGATTGTACTGCACGTCGTCCACCTACTACTCACTTACTCCTTCGTATCGACCCAACTTGGGGCCATGTCCCGTTGAGTTTCCTCCGACATGCGAAGTCCGCGTGAACAACACTGTCCTGAACGCAAATCTCAAGGGCATGAAGAAGAAACCCGGCACTGCCCCCCCTCCAGACCTTGGCAAGCTCTTGAAGTTTTCCACAGCCGTTTCCAATCGGGTGGAGATCATCTATGTAAATAGCCAGACTCCTGTTCCCTCCAAGGTATGTAGCTAATCATGCTCTGGCCAATGTGCTGCTGAGTGTTTGCAAGAAATATTACCTCTGTGCAGCTCTTGTCGAGGTTACCACCGTCGAGCAACTCATCGACCGTTTGAGGAAGGGTAAGTACAGGAGCAGTAGTGAGATTCTGACCAAAAGTGAGCACCTTATACGGCGTCAATGATAGCTGACTGAAGGATCAAAATAGTGATTCAACAGGCTTCTTTGGATGAAGACATTGTGGCCGGGTCGCAAAAGATGTCTCTGAAGTGTCCAGTAAGCCGTGTATCGCAACTATTGTTCGGACTGGACTCATTGCTACGTAGCTTAGTTACATGCGTATTGCCACCCCGACTCGGTCAGCACACTGCGTTCATTCACAGTGCTTTGATGCATATTCGTGGTATTCGATGATGGAACAGACCACGACGTGGCTGTGTCCAGTTTGTGAGAAGATCCTCAACACGGAGGATCTAATAGTTGACGGGTTAGTTCTAGTACCGAGGCCGCTCGGGGTTCACAATGTACTGATACACATGCAGTTATTTCGACGAGATCCTCAAGGAAACTCATGAGGATGTCGAGGATGTCATTGTGGAAGCGGACGGACAGTGGCACACCATGGACAACAAGTACGGGTCCGTGTCCTGGAAGGCGGTGCATCCTCCGGTCAAGGACCCAACTCATTCGTCACCTCCGACTCCCGTGAAGAAGAGGTCTCCCACTCCAGTAGTAGGATTGGTTGATGGTGACGGGCCATTGAAGTCCGGACCGAGTAATGCGGAGATCGTTATCCTGGATTCCGACGACGAAGATGAAGGTCAGGTCAAACGAGAGTTATCCCCGTCTGCGTACCGATCGCTCAACACGTCCTCAGCGAGCATCGGGAGCCTGCCGCCGCGCTCTCAGACGGTGGAATCAGACATTATCGACCTGACCTTGGACACGGACGATGAGGACACCGTGGTGAGCGTATCCAACCCGAAAAAACGCAAGTCGGACGATCGGGAGTTAGCCTCTCCCACTGAACAGATTTGGAAGAAGTCGCGGACTGAGGTTTCCCCCACAAACTCGACAGCCGTTGCGCACAGCTCCACTCCAGTCCGTTACAGTACTTCGTCGTCGTATTCACCGCCCTCTCGTGATCCTATCAGCATCCTCCAGCCGCCCTCACCACCAAGTCGTTATCCCAACACTAACGGCTACGCTGCACGCCCCGCTGCGCCGACGTACGCACCGAGCGCATATATCCCCCCTGGTGGCGCGCCTGTGCCTGCGCGGCAGTCTGCGGCGCCGCTTTATGCAACATCGCCCCCTTATCTCGGTCAGCCTAATGGTTCACCTTCGTCTTCAGGCTGGAGAACATAGATGTTTTTGAATGGATATCGTTGGATAGTGCTAGATAGTCCGGTCCGTGCAACAGAGGGCTATTGTGTCTATGATTATGCACCGGCCGTCGCGACCGCCATGCGCCTCCGGATGGCGGGGCGCGGGTAAGGCCAGGAAATATCGACTGGCAATAAATTTGGATGTCACACGAGCTTGACGCTCAATTTACGGGCTGTCATTGGCCAATTGGGGCATATGTGACAGGCGTGGGAATGGCTTACAGCAGAGATGGCTCGGCCGGAGGCGGGGATAGGAGGATTCCGGATCGCTTAGGCCGGCGAAAAAGATTCAAAACGCGCGCTGCATCTTTCTCCTTCTCACCACCACTTAGCCTCTCCCTCCTCCTTCCCTGGTTTCCCTCCGTCAAAATGGCCGACGTTAAGAAGGCGAAGACTCCTAAGGAGTTCGCAAGTGCGTGTCGTCTGCGGCGGCAGCGAGCGCTCGCTGTTGTCCCTTGTCGGTTTGAGGACGTGTTTGCTGACCTGGCATGTTCGTGCAGTCGATTTCATGATGGGTGGTGTCTCTGCCGTGAGTAACTGCAACATGAGACTTCTGTGATCGTGTGCTGAACCATACGTCATGCGCAGGCCGTCGCTAAAACGTCTGCTGCTCCAATTGAGCGTATCAAGCTCTTGGTGCAGAACCAGGACGAGATGGTTCGTAATTCAATGTGTAATTCACGTTTCGATCTCGAACTGAATGTGACGTGGCAATCTAGATCAAGCAAGGCCGTCTGGCCACTCCTTACAAGGGTGTTGCGGACTGCTTTGGCCGCACCTACCGTGACGAGGGTCTCCTCTCTCTCTGGCGTGGTAACACCGCCAACGTCATCCGTTACTTCCCTACTCAGGCGTTGAACTTCGCATTCAGTAAGTTTTCATATACATCACGGAAGAACACGCGGATGTTAACGTCATTTTGCAGAGGATTACTTTAAGTCGTTGTTCGGTTTCAAGAAGTCTGAGGGCTACTGGAGATGGTTCGCTGGTAATGTCGCCTCTGGTGGTGCTGCTGGCGCTTCTTCCCTCCTCTTCGTCTACTCCCTCGACTATGCCCGTACCCGTCTCGCAAACGACGCCAAGTCCGTGAAGGGTGGAGGTCAACGTCAGTTCAACGGTCTCGTCGATGTTTACAAGAAGACCCTTGCCTCTGACGGTATTGCTGGTCTCTACCGTGGCTTCGTTCCCTCCGTCGTTGGTATTATCGTCTACCGCGGCCTCTACTTCGGTGTCTACGACTCGCTCAGTGCGTGCGATTCGATTTCTTCTTGAGATGACCACTAATCTTGCGTTTTGTAGAGCCTGTTGTTCTCGTTGGCGCCCTCGAGGGTTCCTTCCTTGCTTCCTTCTTCCTCGGCTGGGGTGTTACCATTGGTGCTGGTCTTGCTTCTTACCCTCTCGACACCATTCGGTACGTGCTATGCCTCCACGTGGGCTTTAGGTCCGCTGACCTTGGCTTTCAGTCGTCGCATGATGATGACCTCTGGTGCTGGTGTTCACTACAAGTCCATGTTCGATGCTGGCTCTCAGATCATTGCCAAGGAGGGTTACAAGTCGCTCTTCAAGGGTGCTGGTGCCAACATTCTCCGTGGTGTTGCTGGTGCTGGTGTCCTGTCGCTCTACGACAAACTTCAGCAGGTTGTCTTCGGCAAGGTCTACTCTGGTGGATCTGGCTAAATATCTCGCTTTGGATGTTGGACTTGATACTTCGTACTCGCCCTCTAGTACCGTCGTCTATTTTGCACGCTACACGATACTCCACAATAGACTATGTGGTTTACTCTCGTTATCCGCTTTTAATAGATCCGGAGACATTAAACAAGTGGACAAATCTGAGAAACGTGTGGCTAATTAACTGGTGGAGTTGAATAAAAGTTTCCTGTTGGGCACAGCGACTACAAGTTGTCTCTAACCACTCAATGCCATGGTTATGTGGTCCTCGCTTCGTATCGCAGCATCTTCGCCTCTATAGCACCCAACGATCACCCGCATTACGCTTACGGCCGTACCAAGAGAATGCTCTCCAAGCGTGCGCAGAAGCTCTTGAATCTGGAAGCACGCGCATTGGCGTGTCTCTGCCCACTGGGTCCGGCAAAACTACCGTGTTCATCACCCTGTTATCGCGCATCAAACCACCTGTTGAATACCCAGATGCAACCAGATCCCTGGTCATCGTCAATAACATTGAACTGGCACGACAGTCAGCGAAGCAGGCTCAGCAATTGTTCGCTGGCTGGAGCGTTGAGATTGAGCAGGGACAAAAGCACAAGGCTTCGGGAAAGGCAGATTTGTGCGTGTCGCTTCGCTCTCTCTTTATCCTATGGCTCACTTCCTGTAACACGCTAGGACTGTGGCAACTTACCAGACGTTAATGCAAGAGCAACGCTTAAATAAGTTCGATCCAAATTGCCTGAAGGCGGTCATAGTGGATGAGGCGCACCATGCTGCCGCCCCTTCGTACGTTCCTCTGCGTCGTAGCTGACGTACATCTTACGAAACATGAACGCATAGATATCGCACTATTCTGTCGCGCTTTCATCCCGAAATTGAACCTCCCGCCGGCCCTAGTCACACAGCGGACCTCCGTCGCCCTGTTCCCATCTTCGGCTTTTCTGCGACGTTCAGCAGGCATGACGGGCTGGCCCTAGGATCTGTATTCGAGCAAATAGTCTATCACCGGGATTTTCTTGAGATGATCAAGGAGCAGTGGTACGCGGTCGTGAGTGTACCCTAGGATCTCAACCTGACGCACCTTCAGGCTCTGTGATGTTCGTTTTACCTCTGTCAGAGCCAACATAGACCTCAGCAATGTCACTCTGAACAGCTTGAACGGCGACTTCAGTGCTACCAGTCTTGCGCATGTCATCAACACCCCCACCGTGAATCAGCTAGTTGTACAAAGCTGGCTGGACAAGGCTGGTGAGCTAGACAAGCCTTGCCCTTTGTCACTTTAATTTATGCATCGCCCCTAGCCAGCAGAAAGTCCACTTTGGTCTTCTGCGTAAGTTTGCACCACCTTCGCGAGCTTACGAACGCCTTCCGTACTGCTGGTGTTAATGCAGCATACATACACTGCGGTACACCTGCCGCTGAGCGCAAGAGTCTAATAAGCGCGTTCAAACGAGGGGACTTTCCTGTCCTTCTCAATGTCGGTATGCAGGGCCATATCTTCCGATAAGCAGCCATTAACTATTCGATGCTTCAGCTATCCTCACCGAGGGAACTGATATACCCAACATAGACTGCGTTATCGTAGCGAGACCGACTAGGTCCCGTAATCTATTCGCACAGATGGTATTTTGACAACAATTCTAACATTTCCCTGTGTCTTACCTTTGCTGAAGATTGGTCGCGGCATGCGCTTGTCACCAGACACAGGCAAAAAAGATTGCCACATCATAGACTTTGTCGACTCGGCAAATCGTGTAGCAGGTGTTGTCTCCGTGCCAACGCTTTTCGGCTTGGATCCTTCGGAGATTATAGACGGTATGACGACGAGTTTTCTGAGCACTATTGTGTTAGCTGAAACTTGAATGTAGGTGCATCAATCGAGACATTGGAGGAGAGAGTCGACAAGATAGCCAGCATTGATCTTGACGATTTAGTGACGGAGCCTGACACTTATGACGACGTTCCAGAACCCAAGTCAATAACCTATATTGACTACGATAATCCGTTCTCCTTCGTCGAGCAAAGTTATGGGACAACACATATACAGAAACTCAGTCATTGTGCCTGGGTCGGCTGTGGCGGAGACGTGTACGTCCTTGAATGCTTGGGCAAGGGGTACGTTCGTGTCGAGCTAGTTCAGGACGAAAACGGTATGAACTGTTCCTCTTGCTTTGTATGGCTATTTACTGGCACGCTGGCAGATCCGGAGACACATTTTGAGGCGCATTACACACCGCCGACTATGACGCCACAAACCGCAGCATTGCTTAAAATTTCGCCGTTCCAGAAAAGCAGGAAAATTCTCTCTGCAGGGACTCTGGAAGATGCGATTCGAGGGTGCGACAACTATGCCAAGAACAATATCATGAAGGGTCCCCTTGTGTCAGGGTACGAGCCGCTTTTTCTAGTAAAGCCCCCTTCATTTAGAGTCGCACATACAGGCTATTCAGGACAGCTAGATGGAGACGCGCCCCTGCGACCGATTCGCAGAAGAGATTCCTCGCCCAGCGGTGGTCGAAATCTAGGAAAGAGGCGTCTGAGATCGATGGCAAGCAGCCTGAGAGGCTTGCCGCCCTGACAAAAGGAGAGGCTGCGAACATCATTACTCGGCTTAAGCATGGTGCTCTGGTACGTACAAAAGAGACCTGTTGATAATCGCTGATACTGATAATGTACGCCTAACAGTCACGGTATCAGAAAAGAGCGAAGGCGGAGGCCAAGGCAGCGGCAACCGCGCACAAGGAGCGACAGCGTAAGGCAAGGGAGCACGTCAGAGTTGGGCCTCTGCTTGTGCCGATGACAGCGTAGGTATATCTTGGCATGTTACCCTACCGCTACGAGCATAATAATTATTAATGTACCAGTCCTTAATCTACGGGAAGATTAGGTCTGGAGAGACCGCTTGTGATGACTTCAGCGTCATGATGGCAGCCTAATAACCAATGCTTATCAGTCGATAGAACCATGCCGATTCGTTGGGCACTGTCACGGACCTGTTGTGCTCTTACAGTGAGCTTTGCGAGCGAATCTGGAGCATGAAATGCTTTCGGGCTCTGAACCAGGGTAGCAAGCACAACTCCAACCAGAGAATCACCGGCGCCGGTGACATTGACGATGTCTGTCGGCCGCAGAGGGACTGCAGGGTGATGCTTCAAAACAACAATACCTCCATCTCTACCTTGAGCAACCACCTGTCTCCGACGGATATTGCTGCGTTCGTACGCCCAAGCAGATTGCTGTGCGGCGGGCGAAGGTATTCGGAAGACTGTGAATAGACCCTTTTCGCCTGCCTTAAGGACAAGGTGCTGGAAGAACGGCAGAAGATGAACGGCCATTTGCGCAATGCCTTCTCCCAGCAGGAAGGACAGGCTCCCCTTCGAAGGGGTCGAATCACACGCATTCAGTCTAGCGAGCTGCTCGAGCTCCATACGGAAATGCGAGCCGAGATCCATACTGTCGATCACCCGCCACCAGTGTTGGTGGGAAGTCAATCCCAGGGGCTCAGAGCTAGCTGTTCGGTAGAGGTGGGCGAGCTCGATAAGGTTAGGGGAGGCAAAGGCCACCGGTGCAATGTCCGCTGTATCCTTGCCAAGAATTGATGCAATGGCGGGGAGGATCCGAACAGATTTAGGTACTGATGTCGGCTCACTTTGCGGAGCTCAGTCGTGGAGACTGTCAAAGTTAAAAATAACACTCACAAAAACACTGTGTCGTGTGTTAGAAAGGCTGGAAACTCGAATTGGACACATAGACGCATACCTGGCACTTCCTTCTCGAAGCATGACTGTACAACGGACCTCAGACTAGCCTCGGAAAGATTTCCGTCTACAGCGACCAATGTTGGCTGGCAGGTTTGGAGCTTGTCGGCGATCTAAGATGCAACTCAGTCACAGCATGAGGCTTGGCCAAGAGGAATATGCGTACCATACCCGATGACAAAGACTCGATGATGTCCATGTCAGACACGCCTCCAATCAAGTTTCCAGCGCCGTCCAAGACCATGTTACAAACAGCGGAACGCTGCGACTCCATAACGAGAAGCCCATCTGTGCGCATTCCGAGCCCCGCCGTCTCCTCTGTCAGTAGCTTACCGAAGCTATCGCTGCCGACGGGAGAGACCAATAGCGTCGAACGCGCCGACGTCGACGAAGTTCCTGACAGAGCACGATGAGCGGCCTCGGCAATGTTCCTTCCTACACCACCAAGTGACGTTGTAATCGCGCCAGGGCTTGTGGAGTGCTTGCCGAGAGATACATGCGAGTCGCACGTTTGTGCCGTTATATCCACAGCTGCTGAGCCGAACACCATTAGGTCTACTTTGGGCTTGAGCATCCCTAGAAGTTAGTCACTGAAGTTGTGCTGATATATAAGCCGTTGTGGGACACTTACAGGGGTGGCTTCCAATTGCATCGCGGACTGTTCATGAGAGATATGCTGGGTGGGACTAGCTGGCTGGAAGACTGACGCAGACTGCGTGTATTGATGCAGGTATCCGTGATACTATATAGCTGAGCTCCTTACTTGTTGTCCAGATTCTTTGACGAGATCGGAATAAGCTACGGCAATTTGGCCACCTACATAGCTATGATCAAGTCTCGCGAAGTCTGACAAAAACATCATCCTTACCGATACGAGCCGTATTTTTTATCAACGCAACATCTAGAAATTGTGACATAAGCTCAAGGCGGCTTGTAGACAAAAGAAATGCTCACTACTATTGAGGGATTTCCCAGCCGTAAGTTCACCCACTCGCTTGAGCAGCCACGGGGTAGTAGCTTTGCCCCACTTATTGACACCCTGTTGCTCTGCCTCCTCAAGTGCCTGTTCAACAGCTTTCTGCATCTCCAAGCCCACCGCTTCGTACTCTTCCGGGATAGGAACTGCGAAGATCGCACCAGTTGACATTCCTATTTGACCTTGCGATCCTACATGGTTAGTGTCAGTTCAAGGTGGCATTGGTAACGACCTAGAACAGTCCTGACGCAAGATCTGAGCGGCGAAACCAGAGTCATTCACTCTCCAAGGGCTCTTGAATCCACTCTTCCGACTATAGAATGCCGGGAAATCGTCTGTTTCGCCGTAAGATACGACCGGGACGCCAAGCGTTTCCTGGAGAATCATGAGCGGGAACATCAAAGAAGCTGTGCTTTACGTCTTACCAAGTACTCCAGAGTCCTAATAGTATCTCAAAGTGTGTCCAGAATAAGGAATATTTAACAGAGCTCATACCTTCCAATATCAAGTATGGACTTGACACCAGCCGAGACTAATCCAACCGGACACCTGGACAATTCTAAGAGATCGGCTGAAATGTCCAAGGCTGCCCAATTTATTCAGTACGCGATTACTGTGAAAATTTGGTCACTCACAAGACTCTCCTCCTCGATGTACACCCCCTAAACTGGGGCCGGAGTCATTGTCACGAGCCATGCGTGAAGTCTAAGAGCAGGTGTCTCACCCTCCCGTTGCAAAAACCTGGACAAATCGTGCATGGTTTGCTGGTGAAATACAACAGGATACATGTATGGCACGTACCTTGATACCAGCCATAGCAGCGAACATGAGTGTAGTGCTGCATGTCGTTCCGCCATCATGTTTCAGAGCAATCGCCGGCCCAAGATCCCTGCGAGAGACCTTGACCACATTAGGGTTGCTTCCAACGTCAGCGAGGTGTTCCAGCTCGTTCGGATGAAGACCAATCTTGATGCGACCTCCTATGATGCCCATAGTTGCGGGTATCGCGCCTTGAGAGCGAACGATATTTTCGACAACCCGTGCTGTCTCGAGATTCGTTGGCTGAGGCATGCCATGGGTTACGATAGTCGTCTCGAGCGCGACCACAGGCTGTCTCGTGGCGAGAGCAGCCTGTACTTCCGGATGGACATCAACTGGTGCACCCCTAGCAAGGACGTCGGACAGCGAAGAGATAGTCCTCAAGCTATGTCTGCTAGGCTTGAGAAGTTGAGAGCAACATGCACGCCGTAACATGGCTGTGGAAGGCAAGAGCCGCCAGGGTGCACCAGTCGACGTCCACCGCGGACATAGCACGCGGGTCATGAACCGCCCAACGGCGCATACACTCTGGTTAGGCGACGACAACGATGTCTGCAAGCAATGACTGGCCAGCAGCATCTGTAGGAGCCCGTCTGGAGACGGAGGATGGCATATGTGTCCTGACATACCAGAAGCTGGACGCTCAGGCGATCATCGCGTCTGTAGCAGACGATAGAGCAGGAGCAACAGCAGTGTTCATTGGGACAACGCGTGACTCGTTTAAAGGTGAGAGTGTGGCTACGCAACGAGTGCAGTACGCCTGACAGTTGTCGGTCTAAAGGCAAAGTCGTCACGCGTTTGGACTACCAGGCATACAGCAAAGTCGCTGTGAAGACGATAGCAGACATTATCCGTAAAGCACGCCGGCAGACGTTTCGCTCCGAGCACCATGCTGACGGCTATGTGTCCTCCATCATCAAGTGCGCCGTACATCATCGCTTGGGGACAGTACCCGTCAGCGAACCCTCCATTGTCATCGCAGTATCCTCACCACACCGCAAAGAGAGCTTTATGGCATGTGAATACATCTTGGAGGAAGTGAAACGAAAAGCCCAGATCTGGAAAAGGGAGTTCTACGAGGGTGAGAGGGAGGAAGATGCTGAGTGGAAGGAGAATATTACTACTTCGATGGCATCCTAATAGTGTATACAGACGCAATATGAACAGGAATGTCATAAGGGTATTCGTGAATGATAGAGTCGTGAACAGAGACATTGCGCGACTACAATGGCAGCGTATTCAGGGCACCTATTCAACCTTCCACTTTTTGGTCACGGGGTCATCATCGTTGCTCACAAGGAGCTCGATGGCCCATAGGATCAGCGTGAAAAACACGTTCATCCATCGCCACCAAACCTGAGCAGGATGGTCCAACACTGCAGGGGGATTGTTAGAAAGTATATCGCACACTGAGGTGATTTACTTACAGAGTAAATGTGAGTATGCAGTGACAAATATCGCTTGCCGATACGTCAGTAAGATCCGGGTAAGCTTGGAGGTCTGCAGTCATCGCGTGGTAAGTAGGGTTGTTAGCCAAGGAGGTGTAGATAATTTACCGGTCGGCCATCCCACTCTCCGTCTGAATCTGGGTCATCTTCCCAAGCATCTGCCCCGATAGTAGGCAGAATGCGGGACGCAAAATGTAGTACAATGAGACGGTACAGTAACGCGACGAGAACTGGTTTGGGGAGGGTGTAGGCGATGAAGTTCAATAACGTCTGCATGTGTGGTAGAATATTGGACAGAAGCGGTGCGCTGTATGATGAAATCCTATAACTACGAAGAGCATAGCGAGTTACGGAGAATGACGTACTAGGCTGCAGCTGGATTCCAATAGGGAGACTGCTCGAATCCGCATAGCCAAAAGTTATATGCAAGGACCAAAGCCAGACCGGACGATTCAATTACGTTTGTTCGTCTCATGGCAAAGCCGATAGCGGTGAGGAATATGAATGCTGTAATAGCCACGCCCAGGAGAGTCGACAGCAGCGGCGAGGCAGCAGCAGAAGGGTAGGACTGCAGAGCCGCAGCTGTAAGCTACATGACGTAGGAAAAGGCAGTCGCCACGCACCACAATAATCCACCACGCAGAGGTGACATATGCAGCTGCAGCTCCTACGAGCAAGCCGAACTGATACCTCTCGCCTTCCTCGACAAGCTCCTTCCCGACCTGACCGAGCTTCTGTACCACCAGCAAGCTAGATATGCCCTCCATAACGATGAATCCAGGACTTGACCACCGAAGTGCCCACCCCCACCACCTTGCAGCGCCTAGAAGCCAGGGATGCACCGTGTGTGCAAAAGCATTGAAGCAAACGAGTAGGAGGAACGAATGTGCAGGCACTTGCAGCACTGACAGAGCAGGTGAACCCCAGAGGAGAGCGAGCGACCCGTGAATCAAGGAATGTATGAAAAGGAGAAGGGACAGCAGTAGGAATGCATCGGTCGAGAGCGTTGAAAGTGTGAGGGGAAGGAAAATAAGGATTTGTGTTGCAGTCGAGAGCCTGCGTCCAACAATGTTCAGTCTGCGCAAACGCGGGCTTCGGAGGAAAGAGGAAGACGGACACACCTCGCCGTGCTCGACACCGCTTTCCAGATCAGCCACGGAGCCATGACAAGCCCCAAGGCCTGTGTAATTCGTCAACGAACCGTGACGAGCGTTGAGGAGATTACAAGCACATGCTTTACACTCGTGTGCCACACCAAGACCGTTTTGCGCGGAGCGCGAAGCGCCTCATTGCATCCGCGCATCTGTTTTTTCGTTGGCATATTGTGCATTATACATGCACAGCATGGCAAAGTATATCTACAAGAGATGTGCTACAAGCGGTGTACATAGTAGAAATTCAAGGTAAATCGTTAGAAAAGGTAAAGCGACAGGTTTACATTGCAAGGATAGGGCGATCTGACTCCAACCGGGGAAGCTCACGCCTCGGACTCAGGAGTCCTTTCGCTGCGGCGAAGTCTGTACCTCGGTGCTGAGCACTCGGATCTGAAGGAGTGACATAATACTTGTCGATAATCGGGATTTGCAAGAGATTCATCTTGGGGGTGATCACGACCATGTGGTTAGTCCGAATTTCCATCCAGTCCGCTATGGTATGTGTTCAGTCGAGTATAAGCGAGAATCAGAAGGAACTCACCCTTCTCAAAGGTAAGAGGCTCGCTAGCGATCTGTGATGAAGTATCAGCAAGGGAGCTCCTGCGCGCCGTCGTGCTCGCACACGCACCATGATAATGTTCTCTCGCTTGTCCATCTTTGTCATCTTATAATGACCACCATCGGCAAACTCGCTGAAAGTAGTGCCGGACGAGAACCACTATGCGATAGGTCGTGAAATCCTGATTGACTCGCTCAATGCGGAAGAACGCACCAACGACGCGGCCTCATCCTGTCGAGAGGAAATGTACCGTGTGGCAATAACACTTTCACCATCGGTGACACAGAAATTGAGAAGACTTGGCTCGGTGATACCGGCCTCTTCCGTCAGCATATTGATATGGGCGATAGTGTCCAGCATTGCTTGCCGTAGCACCTCCGGGGGGACAATGTCTGCGTGAGGGTCCGGAAGCTGATCCTCGATTAGACCTTTTGCCTTACGCGGAGTCCCGACTACCACCTGCCTTTGACAAGAATAGTGCAAACGACCATTGGGAGTCTAACAGCCACCTCAAATCAGAGTGTAATTACACAGCACTCGAAGTGGTTCGCACCTGTGTTACCGCTGACCATGTCGAAGATTTCGTCCGATAGGTAGGATTGCAGCTGCCGTTTGATCTTTGGAAACTCTGCAATGCCACCGTTGTGCATGAACTGTGCAGCACTCAACTATCCTACTTGAAACAAGGACGTCGAATAAACGCACCATGAACTTTCCGAACTGGAACGGGTGGCAGTTGTCCAATGAGAGAGTACCCGCAGTAGTAGCCCGGACATGAGCACTAGAGAGGTCGAAGGGGATGGTCGAGCTTCGAGAAGGTGAGGACTTACAAGACAAGAGGGGACTTGATCTTCTCTGCGAGTCTTTGCAGATTTATGTTGTTCCAAGCCTCCAGAGGATGTTAGCCGAGGAAGTAAGATAGCAAGGCGCGCAAGACGTACCGGAGTGACGGAGGTAAATATGCACGGTTGCTTCCCGAGCTCCTCGTCGTAGATGCAGTCATACCAACCTAGCGTTGGCTAGTCACCCAGCATCCGAGAATGGAACTAGAGGTTTCGGAGCACTGACCTACGCCAAAACCGTCTCCGTTAATAGGCCTTCTGTGATCGAGACGCAGCCGCGAATCAAAGGCCTGGTTGATGATAGAATGACATGGTCGTGTGAGGAGATGGCACAGTTGCACGGGTGCAGTGCCTTTGTAAATTACGAAGCGACACATGCGCCGTTGGGCAGACTCTTCAGTGAAGCGAGCAAGAGAAGAGAAGACGAGCTACAGAGGAGTTCTCTTGTAGCCTGCGCAAGTGGGCGGGAGAGGGCAGGAGTAAAACGCAGGGAGTTAACATGCTCGCCTTGTTGAGGTAGAAGCTGCATGCAAGGCGCGAGTCAGTGACACACGCAAGCGCCATCACCTGATATGACAGCATCCAGGGTACAACGCACAGCACTCACACTTCCGTAGATAACCCGAGTATCCAATTACATCCTCAATATGTTGGCATGTAGGATTCCTGGTTATGTGTTTCTACTGATAATAATATGCTGCTGGATATCCTTCCTTCGCGTACTCATACAAATGTCCGTTGATTTCAATTTCGATTCGCATCGGCTCTCACAAGAACTCAGCAGGACGTGTGGCAGGGTCACCACCAGTCTCGTCATAGACGAGGCCAGCAACACGATATGCGAGCTCTACAGTCGGTGCTGAATGAGTTCCTAAGGTCTGTGCAGCAATTTTTACAACTCACCGTCAGCTTGGGCACGAACTCTGGCTTCTGCATACACTCGCACAACATCCTCGGTTCCGCTGGGTCTTACGAAGGCCCTTCCAGCCTCGTACTTGCGCACCAACTCGTCGATACGCGCTTGGAGACCAGGCGGGCTCACAAGACGACGTTCCGCGTCCTCGGTCTTGAAGATGTTCCTGTCCGCAACGACGACCTTGACGAGGCGGTTCGGAAGGTCCACATAGAGTGAGTCCCACTCGAAAGCTCCGTACGAGCGGTGGACGAGGACGACCTCAACAAGAAGCATGTCCGAAAGAGCATCACCAACGGTCTGGTTAATGAGGTTGGTTAGGTTCACGAGATGGGTTAGAGCGGTGGATTGCGCGGGAGTGCTTGGTTGGTGTTCTGCAAGCTTGGCCTGAGTCTCTGGAGAGAAGAGAACAGTGCCGTGACCGTTGGCCTCAAAGTATACTCCGACGTCATAGTGCTCAGCAGCGTGGTGAAGATGTTTCACGCCCGTAGGAACACATCGAACAGGGAGTCTCTGTGTATTGACTTAGCTCCAAGCGCAATGCGCACAGATGAAACAGCCGCACCTCAGCCAAGTACTTGGTCGAGCCACCATTTGCGTAAGCTGTCTGGACGATGCCAACTCTGATCTCTTCTTCAAGTCCTGCAGCCTTCACAAGATCAACAATGAATGCGGCTACCAGCGCTGCGATCTTGTCGCCGTCAAGCATATGGAACTGACTCCTCTCGTCGAGATAAAAATAGATGAGGCGGTCTGCATCGCCATCGAGACTGCAAGCTCGTTGACCAGGCTTGAGATGCGCAGCGAGTGAAGGGGGAAGCTTCTGTTGAGTTTTCACGAAGTCCGCACCGCAAGCGTGATTGAGAGCACCGGACGTAGTCGTGGCGGTGTTATGGAGAATCAGTGACAGCGACTCGCCTAAGTACCGCGACAATGTGGCGGCAGCTTCGGCACCTACACCGTTGGCGCAGTCAACGAGCAGCGGTGGCGAAGCTGGCTTCCCAGCCTGTACAAACTTCAGTAAATGATAACAACTCGTATTAAAGAGTTTACGTACGATGAGTTTCTTGAAAGCGCTGGACAACTTTTGCATGTAACCCTCGGCGGAGTCGTCGCCATACGTGTCCTTCGTGCCCTTCGTATTGATTGCTCTAACTAAATAGTGTAGGATTGGTGTTGTCGTGACACCGGCATTCCGAGCTTCAACGCCGAGCGCCTTCAGGCCATCCTCCAAGGCACCGACCAGCGCAGGGCCGGATGGACGGGTGTCCCTCGCGTAGACGACGCGAGCTGGCTTAGAAAGATCGATCTTGAGTTGCTTAACAAGAGTCTCCAGTGCCTCGACGAATGCGCTTGTGTTAGACGCATTCGCGAGGACGGTAGCATGGCCTTCCCAAGAAGCTTCAAGCATCTCCCCGCGTGGATCGACCAATTTCACACCGTTGTCCTGCAATCGCATTCAGACATTGCGTGTGTAGCCCCTAAGAGTGCAGACGTACGGGCTCAGGGTTGTGGGACGCGGTCACCATGACGCCGATGGTGCGTCCATCGAGTCTCTTGCTACGTAACCCTGCGAGGACGCCGACTCTAAACATCACAGAGTCGAGATCGTTGCCCCTGACATTACGCAGATATAAGCAAGGTGTAGGATCGGACACATTTGCACGGCTTACAGAGTCCTGAAGCCCGCTGTACCATACTGGTACGTGAGGTGGCCAGGCTTCGGGTGACGCTCTGAGAACTCTCGAATGGCTTCGACTGGCAACGTAGACATAATTTGCGAGTGCTGAGTATATTGAGGCTGTAGAGCTGTTGTCTGGGGCTGCTTCAGGACGCGTATCGGATGGATTAGGGATGAAGGAAAGCTCTAAGCGATCGTCTAACAAAATCCAAGTGACCTTTCGCCCGAGGCAAGCAAGTTATAGGCGCTTAATCTATCACCGCGTATACGCACGTGCGATAGGCGCCCTTTGCCGTCATAGCTTGCTGCCCGCCCCCCGACGCTTGGCATACAAACTGACACCTTACTCCCACTCTTGATTCTGACTTCCCATAAACATGCCCTCCAAGTCACCAGCACAGGCCGCTCTCGAGAAGGCCGACAAGAAGGCTAACTCGTCTTCAGGATGGTTTTCCTCCTCATCGTCGAAGTATGAAGAGGCTGGTGATCTCTACCAGCAAGCTGCCAACCTCTTCAAGATGGAGAAGCTCTTCAGGGAAGCGGGCGACGCGCACGCAAGAGAAGCGGAGTGCCGCGAGAAATGCCAGGAGTCTAACGAAGCGGCGCAAGCGTGGTGGAATGCGGCAAAGGCTTATAAGCGTGGTCACCCAGACTGTGCGTGTGCTTCGCTCAACGCTTTGATTGTCAGTGGCTGACAAAATTATATAGTAGCCATCCAGGCTCTGTCGCAGACGATTACCCATCTCACAAAGGCTGGACGCTTCCGTCAAGCAGCCGATCGCGAGAAGGAGATTGGTCAGATATACTTGCAGGAGCTGAATGATCTCCGCAAGGCATGCGAGAGCTATGAGCGAGCCGGAGAGTGGTATGCTCAGGAGGATGCTCAAGCGTGAGCTTAACCTGCTGTTTTGTCTTAACACTACTGGACTTACACCTCATCAGCACCGCCAATGCTTGCTTCAAGGATGCAGCGGACCTTCACGCAGACCTCGAGGAGTACCCTCAGGCGATCGCACGATATGAACAAGTGGCTGATGGCTCATTAAGCTCTGCCCTGACGAAGTACAGCGTCAAAGAATATTGGCTCAGAGCGTGTCTATGTGCACTTGCGATGGGTGTAGGTATATCTATTATGCACGCTTTATCTGGTCTCATCTATACCTGTGTAGGACCCTATCACTGCCAAGCGGAATCTGAGCAAGTATTCGTCTCTTGACACAACATTTTCCTCTACGCGCGAAGCGAAGTTCATTAACATTATCACGGACGCTATAGAGGCAGGAGACATGGAAACGCTCACCGCTGCTGTTTATGAGTACGACCAAGTCATGAAGCTCGATAATTGGAAGACGAATATCCTCCTGAAGATTAAGAAGGGTATCCAGGAGGAGCCTACTATCATATAGAATATTGCTTCTCTATCTCAATAGTTCATACCATCTTATTTGTACCTCACCTTATACTAGTGACGTGGAACATAACACCGGCGTGAGGTTGTCTGTTGTCAGACTGCGCTCTCCACGTAGACGCGACGGGCCAAGACGCCCGCCGGTTACCCTCACACTTCACTCTATACCCCAACCTCCCCCAATACTACGTCGACGGAGACGTGCCTGCTCTTTAGACGATGGCTTGGCCGGCATCGCTCGTCCTTTTTCTTTTCCATGCCGTATATTATGTGATAAACATCTTCTCGTCTCTACGCGTCAGTCTCGGTCGGCCACCAAAGCCTCTCGAAGCCAAGCGGAAACAACTTCCCACCCACCTCGCGTTGCTTTTCGCTACGGACCGAGATGGCGTAATGGAGAAAATTGAGGAACAGTTGCTTGTAAACATCCAGCAAGCGATATCATGGTGTCGGGCTGTAGGAATACAGCGTCTGACCGTATATGACCGTGACGGTGAGTTTCCGGACATGGCTTATCGCACTTGCTTCTGAACTTATCGCACGACGAATAGGATCTCTGTACGGTTCATCTTTTGAATTGAGGACAAAGCTGTACAAGGAGAACACCCACGACGAAGTGTGTGAAGCCGAGGCTGAAGTTCAATACCCTTTGACACCACCGCCTTCCGACTCTTCGGCCTCAAGTTCGAGATCACTATCGCCGGAACACTCAGCACAACCAAAGCTGCATGCTATCACCATTGTTGTTACCTCTGAGACCAAGTCCCGGACACGAAATGAGAAGGATGGTTTGAGACGTCGCGCGAGTGGTGAGCGTGCCACGGTCTAGGTCGCCTTGTTGGTTTATCTGATCTACTCTATAGGCTTGAAAGTGTCTACTAAGCCACCATTCACGCTCCATGTCCTGTCACGAAAATCAGGGAAGCCTGCAGTCGCTGAAGTCGCAGCAAGCTTTGCGAGCAACGATTCTGAGTTCATGAACAAGGATTCGGCGGTGTCTGTCGCGTGTCTGAACTCGATGTTGGAAGGTACTGAGATGTTCAGAACCACTGTCTTTGGACTAATGGATGGATCACGTAGGCGAACACGGTTTCCCTCCACCAGACCTGATGATAGTGCATCAGGTCACGCCGCATAGATATCCCAAGAATATACTGGAGCTGCATGGCTTCCCACCATGGCAAATAAGCTTGACTGAGTTCTAGTATGTGTGATGTAACCTCTCCCTTACGTTATGCTGAAATCACTTTCAGTTATTCTGAGTATCCTTCTTGGTGGATGTGCTGGAAACAGTCGGACTCCTCTACATACGTACCGCTCACAAAACACGAGTTGTGTCGAGCGTTAGACCAGTACGATGCTGCGGAAATGCGGCGTGGCAGATGAACGCATCTGGCTTTTTTTCTTGTGCTGGAAGCAATATGCAGGCTCATAGTCTAAATATCAAGCGGCGGGGCGTAGCCTGGGCCCTGCTGGCAACATGCTGTGAAGGTGCGTGAATAATCTGGATAGACTTCTTTCATTTACATGCCGGCTGCTCTGATACTTCCATGAATCTTGTATCACATGAACCACTCGACCTGCCGGTAACTCTCCAGACCCTTGCGTACTGTATTTCTCCTTCACCCAGATCTAGAGGTCCTGAAACGGCGGCGTTCAGTCATCAGCAGATATTAGCTCCTTGCCCAGGTCATCAACGCTCCTCCTGACAGAGTGCATTCTCCACGTTGCCGTGCCGTCTGATAGTGGCGCAACATGTACGGAATGCGCGATGAAGGCTTAAAGCTCTGTATCAGCTTCTCCGCGCGTTACGTGTTTACTGTCCATATTCGATAGCTTTGGGATAGGCATGGCAAAGAAGGCATCAGCGCACGGTCGTTCCGAACAATTTCGCATCGGTCACCGCCTTGCACGTTCCCATGGATCTCACAGGAAACGCCAGCCTATATATACCGTTCTCTCTTTGCTCGGCACCCGCATTCAATACGTGCAAGCCTTCCACAGCAGACAGTCTAGACAGTTCCTAGCAAGAGCCCAAGCGTTGAATCTGCGCACCCAAAACAAGACTTGCTAACGCAGCAACCTTTTACGCAAGCACGCTGATGTCACATCTCAACACACAGTACCAGAGCGAGCAGACAGTGCAGCCATCGTCCTTGAAGGGCCCCAATGTAACAAAACGTATCATCGTCTGCTGCGACGGGTAAGTTCCATGAGCGGCGACATTTATTTGTGCGAGTTATTGAGGATGGCACGCAGGACGTGGGACGACGGTCTCATTTGTCAAGAGCGATGGAAGTACACAAACGTTCTTGTGTGTATTTCCCTGCATCTTTCTCAGAGAAAGACTCACGCGGAGATCTCAGCGTCTTGCAAGGATCATGGCCCACACAGACGATCGCTAGTGCGTCTGGTATCTGCTTGCAATCAATCGGTTGGTTGATGTCTCTCCATAAAGTGTGCCACATGTTCCCCAAGTTGTGTTTTACCAAGCGGGAGTTGGTACGTTTGGTGACAAGATCATCGAAAAGCTGGATGGTAGGCCACCAGATCGCTATAACAACGAGCAATTCTGAACATGCATCATGAATGTGCATCATCTACAGGTTACGTCGGAGCATCATTGGCTGAGAAGGTACAGGAAGCCTATGCGTTTATTGCTCAGTGAGTATCGTTGCCGGAGGAAAGTGTAACTTCTTATCCCTATACTTCGCCTCCAGCAACTATCGCCCGGGAGACGAAATCTTCCTCTTCGGATTTTCTAGGGTACAATGACATCTTTCCCGGCTCTTCAGGCACTGATCATCAGTCCGTAGGGAGCCTACACGGCGCGCATGGTCGCGCTTCTCATAGGTGCCATTGGCGTGCTGGACCGCACCGAGATGGACAACTTCGCGGACATCTTCCTACTCTACCAAGAGCGTGGCAAGGCGCAGGACCAGCAGGAGATTGCCGTGCTCGACGCCCAGCTCTCGCTGTGGACGTCGCACAACTCGCCCGGCAAGCAGCGGGCGGACTCCGGACCAAGCAGCTTCTCGATCAAGTGTGTGGGCGTGTTCGACACCGTAGGTGCGCTCGGGCTCCCCGAGGAGCTCACACACTCGGAGAAGATGAAGACGTTGTTCGGCTTTCCCGATCGCTATCTCGGAGAGCACATCGAGAGAGCCTACCAAGCGCTTGCGTTAGACGAGCATCGCAAGGATTTCGTGCGTGACCGGCCATTGTGGGGGTGAGTTGCACGAGCTGACAATAAGACAGAACTGCACGAAGTTTGAGCAGACGGAAGGAGGAAAACGCAAAGGACAGATTTTGAAGCAGTGTTGGTTCTCGGGATCACACACGGATATTGGAGGTGGGTTCGAGGACCACGACCTGTCTGATCTCACTTTGACCTGGATGGCGGTATGTACTCCTGCTTCAAGGTGAAAGACAGCTCTGACCGCCAATACTTTGAAATTTAGGCCAACACGTCGGACATGCTTGCACTGGATCAGGAATACCTTAAGTCCTTGCCGAACCCCGCCGCGCCTTGGGGCGAGCTCCAGCCGCACAAGTCAGTGTTTTATCCACCCCAACTCACGCGCATTTGACCAACCTTCACCAGCTCTTTGACAGGTATCTACTCCGTTGCCGATCGCATCCAGCGCACGATCCCGACAGGCATCAACGACGTCACGCATGAGACGATCCACCCCTCAGTCCTCTGCCAGAAGATTCCGCGCCCCGACGTCCTGCAAGCCGTGCAGAACGTGCCCGCGCTGCTCTGGCGGCTGCTCCCGTACGAGGAGGCCGTGCGTGCGCACTGGCACGTGATGCGGGCGCAGACGGACGCGAAGACGGAGAAAGACGACAGTAGTGCACTGAAGGACATTGGCCACATCCTACATGCGGCAAAGGCCGCGGCCAAGGACGGACACAGCGTTGGGAAGGCGGTTGTGGACGCCATTAAGCATAAAGATGACGCCGGAGCGAGAACGCATCCGCTGGCGAAGTTTGCAGAGGAACACAGCATGGGCAAGGTTGTTAAGGAGCTGCTGGCGGAAAAGAGTTCATGAACGGAACTGATATTTGATTCGATGAGATATACCCTAGTGCTATGACAAACCATCGAGTGTCGTACCCATGCGAGCTACAGCATGGAGAGACCCTATCAACCTATCGATCCCCGAAGACACAAGCCACGGGCTCAAAGCAAAAGAGCAAAAGATCACCACAGGATGCCTCTCGCCTTCAGCTCCGGCAAACCGTCCCAAACCCGCTTCTTGACATCGGGCTTCAGGGCGCGCGAACGGAACGTGTCTCCAGTGCAGATTTCGAACCTAAGTTTATCCAGCGACCCAAAGCGATCGAGCTCCCTGCGCATCTGGGACCAGTCGGCGGCTTTGAGACGACCAGTCTCTCGGACGATGAGAGTAATATCTGTCACAGAGGCCGGCACTACGCGCAGAATATTGAAGACAGTCTCCCAAGAGTGAAATGCCCCAGAGTTGGCGTACAAGATGACCACAGAGCGTAGACCTGGACACTTGTTAAGTTCAAGTGCGGTCCAATCTGCAGGTACGTTTCATTAGTAATGTGCTATTCGAGCTGTAGCAGAGATATACCTGCGCGATCGTTGCCCCAAAAGTTCCAGATAGAGATCTGGAAGTGCCTCAAGTTTGCTCCCATGGCACGGAGAAACGAGCCGAGATGCGCGATATCTTCAGTTGCAGTAATGGAGGCACGAACAGCCTGCAGATACTCTGGACAAACGCTGCTCTGGAGAGTTCCGAGAAGCGGTGCAGAGACGTCGTGAAGCTGCAGGGTGTGCACGCGCACAGGCTTAGGTAAGCGTGCTTCCTCCGTGCCTAGCATCTCTTCGTCTAAAAGATGCTTGCGATGGATCACTTCCAAATCCAGGACGCGGATCATGTGGAAGAGAGAGAGAAGCGATATCAAGGAGGTGGAGGTGCCTGGGATGGACGGATACATCCACGAGATGAAAAGGGAGCAGAGCCGGAAGGGGTTCTGCTGCGAAATACAGCCAACATAGCCCGTCTGCCTGAGCTTGAGGAAGCGTAACCGAGGGAGATTGGTCAGCACGGTGACGACGGTGTCCTCGGTAAGCTCTGGGGAGAGGGCGTGGATAGGACCAGCAGAGAGCGAGAGCTCCCGAGGACGGGAGCGCATGGGCTCTTGGAGATGCTTCTTGAGCTGCTCAGCGTAGCCACCCTGCTCGTTACGTGCTTCGACGCGGTGACTGTAGAAGAGGTGGTAGCTCGCCTCGCGCGTCCAGGCAGTGCACACGAGGGAGCAGGCTTTGAGGGACTGCTTATCGTCGTGGAGGAAATCGATGATCATGTCCGTGAGCTCCTGTGCAAGACATTGGCCATGAGACATGATGGTTGTCTCGGAAGACATTATTGCTAGGGTTCCGGTGAGCAGAAGGAAAGGGAGGCTAAGGCCGTGACTCACTGAAGATTTGGTGCGACCTGCGTGGATGCGGATGGGAGAGAACAACAGGGAAGACTGAGGGTGCATATCGAGCATGGCAGCATTTATACCGTGCACGGGCGGCCAACTGGAATGTCAAGGAAGGTGGTCACTAGGTGACCGGAGATCCCACACATGTCAGGTGTGACCGACACAATCACCACCGGTCACGATCCGATTGCTGTGACTGGGCGTGTTGAGCGTGACTTGTTGGATCCGTGACGCCTTCTCCCGAACGACGACCAGCGTGAGCATGCGCCGGTCATAGCACTTCTTCAGCCCTCCTGCGCTCTCTCCTCATGCCCGTCAAGGACCTGGTCGGCTTCTACGAGTCCCGGCCAGGCTCGTCAACGTCCGCAAAGCGCGCCGGCAAACAGCCCCAACGCAGTGATACCCGCCTTGTAGACGGCTTACCTCCCCCAAGCACATCCAGTGCACACTATACATCCCTCGGCTACGCTCCTTCTCCCCCTTCTTCACAGCACCAGTCTGACTTCACTGCTTCTGACACCCTTTATGATGCCACGATCGATACCCACGATACCCATCACGACTTCACCAAAGATATTACTGACGAATCCGACGAACCACCGAAGCGCCGACCTCGCAAATTCGGTTCATTGTCTAAGACACATGGGCAGGCTTTCGAGGAGGATGGTCTCGAGATGAAGATGCTGTTATCTCGCACGGACACCCAAGGGACGCTAGGGGAGAGTACTCGGGAACACGTACCGGAAAGCGAGGCTGCCTTCAAACTAGACTCTGAACCAAGTCTTCCCTCTCATAATCCCATTCCCGCTACCACAGTTTTTGCTCGAAATGCGGCTCCTCTCTCCTTCCCTCAGCTTGACGCTCATCTAGCTGCAATACCTCCATCCTCATTCCATTCCCAGGCTAGTAAGGACGGCAAGGCAAGTATGTTTCCTCCTCTACAGCTCCTTGCGGCCACCAAGAAGACCCTTGAAGACCTGGAGACGAATTCTCAAATACTTCCCTGGTACGGGAATCGGAATAAGATCTTCGGCGCGCTCACATCTCTCACCCTATCCATAACGGTGGGGCTCTTCCCATTTATCTGCACCTGCCCTTGGTTTGAACATAGACATCCAGGGTGCTAGTGCCTTGGTCACATTCTACAGTCTACACGGTCTCATTGACATCCTTCAAATATTTGCGCTCATCGTGAATACTATCGGTATGTTCTGTAGGTAGCGTATGAGGATGCTCTGACATCTTAACGCTGTTCAGACCACGGGAATCAGACTGGTACCTGGCGGGAGGTTTTCCTTGGTACAATGTCAGGATCTAGCTTCTGGCGTCGCAACGCTTCGTACTAATAGCTGTACTCAGACCCAACGTCCTGGCTCTCAACTTTGCGACCAGCATTAAATTGGCTTTGGTCGCTCTTGTGGTTTTCATGGTCATCACCTGCGTTCTGCTCTATTCCTTCTACAGAGCAACGTCGCTCTGCTGCCAGTTGGGCATCGTTGAGGGCTTACAGTCGCCCAACTTCTTTCCGCACAAGTGGTGGCTCGTCTTCATGAGCTTCATACTTACGGTCATCTACCTACCACTTAGCACGATGGCGATGCATGTCGTTGTGTGGTCTGATGACCTCTGGGTCGTGCCAAACCCGTATACGAACGCGACGACCTTCCCGCCGGTGCTTCCTCCCCTTGGTCCGCCTGCGGAGTTTCGCGACCCGCTTGATTTCTGTTGGACAACGACTATGAACAAGAATGAGCTAAATTATGCTCCAGTGCTTGTGATCCTCGCGCTCATTTGTTTAGGCGGTGTAAGTAGGTTGAACCACTGTCTCCGCCGGAGCTGACTATCCGCAGTTCACAGTCTGGTTCCCCATCCACCTCTATCGTGTCATCGTCCTCGTATGCCCCCGGGTCGACCGATACACGGAACTGGGCACTAAACGGAGCAACAGCGATATGAATCGCGAGTACCAGCGGCTGCTCCACCGTGACAAGAACCCGCTCCAATTTCTCTACCATAGTATGTCAATCTTATCCCTTCCTCCCGTCTCCCGTGTCTGACGACTTGGTCAGACTACCGCCGCGGATGGGCGACCTACGAAGCTTCGTACATTTTTGCCAAACTCACAGCGCTGCTCATTGTCGCCTTCGTCGACCCGGATAACTGCCTGTTCCGCAGCTTGAACCGCACGCACGTTATAGTCGCACGCCAGAGCATTCTCCTCGCGGCCATGACGTCTTTCTTTGTGCGTCAGTGTGTGCTTGCCCCTTTCTTGGATCCTGTCAGCAACGCAGGCGAGTGGATTTCCTGCTTGAATTATGTGTTGACAGCGGTCATCGCGCTGTGTGTCGCGCTGAACGTGTCTGGGGCGAGTGTATTGGATGGCCCGATTTTGTACATGTAAGTGATTTAGGTGGACTTCTGGCCGCGAGCTGATGATGTGTAGTGTATACGGCATTACATATGGCATGGCTTTTTGTGGGTCGCTGTTCCCCTAGTCGATGAGCAGTCACTGACAAGAGCTTTCTAGATTTCACCGTCATTGATACGAGCTTCATGCAGCATTTGGTAAAGCGTACGTCTTCTAGTCATTCATGGTAATGGCAGAACAGATATGCTAACTTCTCTTCAGGTATTTCGGGGCGCATCGACTTCAGTATGTTCATCTTCCTTTGAGTTACTACTTCATTTGACCATCACGACAGGCATCGACATCTTCTCTCCTCGGTGCGTTGAACCTCGGCGCACCCCCTCTCCTACCCTCATTTCCTGATACGGCTGCAGGATAGACCTGAGCCCATCCTCTCTGCATACTAAGCGCCGCATCTGGCAAGAAGCAATTTCTGTGCTCTTCCTCACGAATCCAGAGTGTGGCATACCGAAGACGCAGCCGATGGATTTCATGCAAGCGCGCGACTCGGAATATCCGCCGTACCTGCTGCATTTTGCAGGCACGCCTGGGGAACGGCATGCCGAAAACCTGAAAGTATTCTTCGAAAGCCCCATATTAGCCATGCAACCTTACTGACTCGAAAATAGATCTTAAGGGAGGTCGGCATGTCGTCGTACACGCAAGGCGTTGTCATGCTTGCAGGTACACGCTCAGCGGAGTTCCGCGAGCTGCTTGAGACAATTCAGCAGCAATTCGTCGGACCCGATTGTTACTGGAAGGACCCGACGGAGCATTCCACCATCCGCTGCAGGGGGCGCTTCGGAAATGCATGGTATATCCCGTTCCCTCCTACAGTGGTATGTGAAGATCTCTCAGCGTAGTTAGCCGAATTAATGAGAAGCAGGTCCTTCGATACGATGATGGTCCTCTAATCGCACTGCGCGAGGCTGCAGAGCTAGAGCTGTACGTTAAGCAGAACTCAAGCCATGACATCCGGCGTCGGCGCGAAGTGCGTATGGCTTTGAGGGCCTTGGATGGGCTGGTCGTCGCTTGGCCGTATGTGTACAACCAGGTATATCTCGCTCAGACTCGTACACCAAGTCTCTGCTAACCGAGGGCACACATAGCCCGTAGGCTCCCGCAGGCCGCTTTGCTGCTGCTGTTCAGGACGGCGTTACAGTGCACGGGTGTCTATTCACTATCGTGCCGCTGTCTTCCGCATCAAGCGGCAAGGCTCGCTTATCTTCGACGGCTTGAATCTCGGCAGCGGCTTCAGCGTCGAGATGCAATACGCGAAGGGTGTCACTGTCGACGGGTCTGTCATCGGCCTTACTGACGACTACGACCTCACCGCGCCGCTGGCGCGCTTTCTTGCTCTCAACGAGGAACTCACCACCGAGTTCCTCACGCGGGTCGAGATCGTACTAGGCAGGTACAGGCACCACATGCGCAAGGAGGCCAAGGCCAAGGCGGATGCGCTCAGTTATAGGTTCTTGACAGCGGTATACGATAAGCCGCAGGGATGGGTGGAATTGACAGAAAGCTCGATTGAGATTGAGCACGATCTGAGGGTCAGGCGGCTCATGCTGGGCGGTGAGGACGTATTCAAGGTGTCGTACGAGAGGCTGCAGGCAGTGTCGAGATCTGAGCTGACGGTATGGTGGTACTTATTCTGGGTGAGTTGTCTCTTTGGAGCCTGCATCGTTCAGCTTGGCCAAGCGTTGTTCAGGACGACCTGTGGAGGCGGAATCACGACACGATCAAGGGTCTACAGACACACGCAACAGACTTTGATCCCCGTTACCCCACGTCTATCGCATACACCCCGTTGCCAAGAGCAGCACTGGAGTCGTTTCTTACCCAGCGCGGGTTGCTGCGGCAGAAAGCAGCTTTTTTCAACTCTTTCAACTCTGGGTTGTTGAACAAGATCTACATGCGAATGAACGACATACTGTTCCACGGACGCAGGCAGGTATGTGTCCTGCGCTTTTTATCGCGATATTTTGCACTGACATTGTTCCTCAGGCAGACATCATCCACCTTGGCCCCACACCCGCCGAGCTCGACATGGAAGAGGTGGACGCCAAGGCACAGGCGCGGACTTCGAGTCTCGGCACGGGGGGTGGCACCGACCACGACGACGAGTCGATCCGAGCGCGGCCCGTGTACCGCTGGGAAGGCATCTTGGATGACCCTTTGCGCAAACATAAGCAACGCTACCCGAACCTATTTACAAAGTTTGGTGTATGGTTTGGGATCACGCCGCTCTGGCGGGCGGGCATCCCGTCGGTGGGCCTGGCACTTGATGTGAGACTCGATAACGGACAATACGTGTTGCTGCAAGACCAGAACGAAGGAGAGATCAAGAAACTGTGATGGAGTATCATTATATGTATATACTAACGACATAGTTGTGTCTATGTGCCGCTTCCTCGAGTTAAACACGGATTCCAATTAGCAACTTCGTTGCAGCAGACAGTAAGAGCCTCGTTACCTGTGGCCATTGTGCGATGCGACGCGGTGTGCGTCCGAACCGATCTGCGAGAGCACGCCATATCCGCAGTTAGAATGAGGCAAGCGATAAGGCGAGGTGGGGCATACCATTGGTTATTGACAGGCTTCTCAAACAGCATTTCCCTCAGTCTGTCAGCCGTGCCCTGCACCGCACCGACATATGGGTCCAAGAAGTCTGGGAAGCTGCCTGTGGAGGATACACGTTCGCTACCTCCGGTGTACGCGCGAGGCAGCCGGATGCCCACTGGGTCGGGCACGACACGCATCTTCAGCGCGTTGAGCACGACCTGCAGCTGCGTCTGGCAACTGGCTCCGCCGCCGCCACCGTAGGTGACGAGCGCGACAGGCTTTTCCGCCCACTCCTTGTAGAGGTGGTCGAGCGCGTTCTTGAGCTCGCCAGGGTAGCCGCCGTTGTACTCGGGCGTGACGATCGCGAAACCGGCACAGGACGTGACGAACCTACTCCATTCGCGAATCGCGGGCGAAGCGTACGCGAACGGGTCTGGGACCTGTGAGGGCAGCTTGGAGCCGTCAACGACGGGGCCGAACGGGTGCGGTGGCTCGCGCGGGTCGACGGCGACGATCTCGACGACGTTTGCGGAACCGGGCGCATTCAACCGGTCATCGAGGATCTGAGTGAGCCAGGCAGCGAGTCCGTGGCCGTTGCCGCCGTTGCGTGAGCTCCCTATGAGTAGACCTAGGCGTGTTGCGACTTGCATACTTGAATGTGCTGGAGAGGATGAAGTTGTAGATACGACGCGCACGACTCCGTCGCGTAAGCTTTGTTGATGTAAGCGTGCTTATCCTTGCCATGTAAGCATCCAGTCTGTTGTCCCGAGACTAGCAGGATGGAGAAGAGATTACCAATCCATGCAAGTCCAATTGCAGTATCTTGATGGTGCTATGCGCGCGTATGACCGGAGAGTCAACTAGTCCTAGTCAACTCTAGCCGCTATGGTTACATCTAAACACGCAAATTTGCCAGAGTCCAGAAACAGTCGACTTGTAGTTTCAGCTTGGTACTAGTATTGCCGGCGATGGGGACATTTATCGCAACTGAGCGTTGCCGGAGCGAAAGACCGATCTACAAGGACTCAATATTACCCCGAATGAGAGTCAACTATTGCGTTTGTTGTCACGTATCGAGAGGGGAAAGTTCAACCAATAGGAGGAGACTCTATCAAAATATCTGGTCACTGCCATACAGGAAAATAGGACATTCAGCTGTCAAATATACGGCGAATCGCGTATGTTGCCTAGCAGAATTTTGACACTAGGGATCAGTTTCATATCTCCATCTGTCAAAGGAATACTCACATGTGTATAGGGCGGTATTAATTCGACTCGTTGGAAACGAGCGACGCTTTGAGTCCGTCCGCGGCTTCGCCCACCGCATCAACGTATTGAGCGAGGAAGTCAGGATATTTGCCATCGGTCGACACCCGCTCCTCACCCTCGATGTACGTACGGGGCAGAGTGAGGCAGACAGGCTCGACAGGTATGCGCATCTTCAGCTGGGCGTACACACCCTGGAGCTGGACAGCGCATTTCCCGCCGCCGTGGCCGCCGAAAGCAATGGTGATGATAGGCTTCCCCCGCCATTCGCGGTACAGATGGTCAATGGCGTTCTTGAGCTCACCAGGGTATCCACCATTGTACTGTGGGGTGACAACGATGAAGCCGGCGCACGAAGCGATGAACTGACTCCATTCCTGGATGGCTTCGGTCGAGTACTCCTGGGCGTCGTTGATCTGCGCGGGAAGGCGGCTGCCATCAATGATGGGGCCGTAGGGATGCGGTGCTTTCGTTGGATCGACAGGTATGATGTCGAAAGCCTTCGGTGTACCCGCAGGGTTCAGGCGAGCATCGACGAGTTTCTGAACCCAAGATGCGATACCTGGGGTGTTGCCATTTCGTCTGCAGCTACCGAGGAGCAGTGCGAGGCGTATGGGTTGGGACATGTCGACTTCAAGTTGGTGAAGAGGATGTAGGTCGTGAGAGGCTGGCGAATCCAAATGAAATGCTTGATCCTTTTATACAACCTTCGCGATGTAGAAACTGTTCAAACCAGCAAATAGCATATTAATATTGATCAAAACCTTTGATGGTCGTCCCGCCGCGAATGGTCGAGTCACGAAGGCGACGCTTGCGGCACAGCAGGTCGATCAGCCCTTTGCGCAAGTCAGCCCCTGGAAGACCTCGGTTCCGAGTCTTCGCGCCCTCCGTAATGCCACAATCCCCTTAATTTTGATGCCATCAGCCCCGCCCCGACCATATTTGGATGTCCGCAGTCGAGCCGTTTCGCCGACGCGCCGATAGCATAAGCATAATAGTGCTCGTCGAGACTGGACGCTGTGCCCAACGTACATCGGCCGCAGTGAGCGCAGCAGTACGGCGGCCGACATTGACTACCGTTTATCTCCCTTTCAGCTGTTCCAAGAACGATAGACACCCCCGGGCAAATTTTCAGAACTCGGAGTTCGAAAACTCCGCAGGCGCTAGGGCGAGCTAAGGAAACGCGTCCGCCGCATTTGGTAATTCCGCCGTCACCTGAGATACCTTGACCCGCCCGACATTACCACGAGACTCATTGGCTGAGTGGAATCTCTTCGCAGACACGCATGCAGATATTGAAGAGAGAGGTAGGATGTATTACAGTGCTTTGTAAGCTAAATGAGAAGTTCCATATGATCCTGTCCTCTACAAGTCATCGCGGAGAGTGTAATGAAGGATAACGAACAGGGATGGCGCGATATGACTGTCGTCGTGGGTGTTGTGCCACCGTATGATCGCGAAAGGCAAAGCGGAGGAGCGTCGGGCGGGTCAAGGCACGGCGAAATTACCAAACGCAGCGGACGCGTTTCCTGCGCCTGCGGAGTTTTCGAACTCCGAGTTCTGAAAACTTGCCCGGGGGTGTCTAGATCTATCGTCTTATATTATCAAAGTCGATCGACTATCATCGACTGATTAGATAAGGTCTGCCTAGGGAGACTACTTCACGCGTAAGCAAGCGTAAGCTCAATCAAGTTTGATGCGATCAATCCCGATTCAGAAAATACCGGCTTGTGGTGTCTCATCCCTTAACCTTAGTATGCCTCGTCGACCTCGTCCAACGACCCGGAAACCCCCCATTCATCTCGCCGGAGCGAGCCGTGGGCCGAGAACTGCAACCAAACCCCATGGAATTACGGGGAATGTCAACGAAATACGCATTCACGCCGTAGATTCTGTGAGCGAAAACGAGCCAGAAAGCGACTCTGCAGGGGAACACGAAGACCTGGACGAAGATCCTGAGTCATCATTTGTCGAGGGAGGAGAAGAAGAAGAAGAAGACGTGGATGTGGATGGCCCTCGAGTCGCACAGTATGTTGATGAGGAAGACCTGGAGGAGGTAGGCGAGGAGAGCGAGCCCGAAGACGATGAGCCCGAACAAGAGCCAGATAATCTCGTACGTGAGAATTTGCTTGCTATCTGGCGTAATTCACACAAAAACGCTAGAAGAATCTTCGCAACGGTTCGTTCGTATACACCGGAAAGATTTTTTTCATTAATACATGCGCTGTATATCAGACCTTTCTACGTTACCTCTAGGCGCATTAAGGAAAGCACAACAGGCTCTCTTGCGCTCCAAGGTGTACGACGATGAAGATGATGAGGACGGGGAGGGCCCAGGGTTGCCGTCAGGGGAATACTCGAATTCCGAACCCAAGGGAGAGACCTCCCACCAGGCCAAAGACCAAGAGAAAGAGAAGAAAGAGGTACCAAAGAGGAAGAATAAACATGCGTGCATATCTATTAACCGCGCCCAAAGATTTTTCCCGCTTACCTCGCGTTCTGTAGTCCTATGGAGATGTCTTCCAAACGTCCTGTACCCCGAAAGAGGCTAGACATCCCGGTAAACAAACCCGTACGCATCGCGACACGCATGCCTATTCTATGACCTTTCCCGAACCTCTATCTCCAGGTACCTCGTGACCCTCGCTTCCTACCTATTACTGGGGAGTTTTCCCAAGACCGTTTCCGCACACAATATGGCTTCCTGTCCGAGATGCATGAGCAGGAGATGAACACATTGAAGGAAAACCTCAAGCGTGCACGCAAGATGCTTGCATCGTCTCCCAGGGCCTTGCGCGCCGAACGTGAAGCAGAAGTTCAACGGCTGGAGCGTGCAGTCAAGCGAGCGGAGAGTCTGGTCAACAGGGGCAAGCGCGAGCAGGTTGAGGCATCGGTCCTTGCTAAGGCGCGGAAAGAGGAGAAGGAAAAACAGAAACAAGGAAAGAAGGCGTGGTTCATGAAGAACGGTACGTACACTACGTTTGTTCTATGTTCTCCGTGACGCTGAGTGTACGTGCACAGTCGACAAAAAAGAGCTGCTGACTCGCGCAAAATTCGAAGTCCTTGCGGAACAAGGAGGTCGGGGAGCTGTGCGTAAAGCTATCGAGAAAAAACAGAAAAAGACTAGTCAAAAGGAGAAGAAACGCAGACCATACGCACCTGGAGAAAAGCGTCCTTCAAGGCCCTCGACCGATGTGCGACCGAATAAGCGGCAAAAGTTCTCATAGCTTCCGTAGTCAAGTGTGGGAGTAGTTCTAATCATACATTCGTGATATGCTACTTATTATGTAGGTTTGACAGAATAAGGCGGCATGGGATATACATTGCCTGGCTGTGCGGCGTCGGTAAGCTCTAATCTGCTTCACATTTTGGAGATGAGGTTTTCGTGGAGGATGGCCAGCTCTTTTAGATTGATCTTCCCGTCCTCGATCAACCATTCGAACAACTGCTTCCTCGTGTCCGTCGTCATCTTTTTGATCACCTTTACATCCTCTGCCGTGATGAAACCATACTCGGCAAATATCGGCACGATGCGGTCTAGCTGTAGTTCTTGAAGGAACGAGCGGAAACCGCCTTGATACGCCAAGGTCTGCGCTCTGCTCGACTCTGAAGAACTCGTTGTCGCCGGATAAATGGAAGTAGGATTGTTCTCGGAGCTCGTTGCCTCTGCAGCAGGCACTTGCTTCTCGTATATTCTCCTTTTCATGGGGGTATTGTCCCGCGTCTTTTCAGTCTGCTTGCGTTTTCTTGTCGACCTCCTCAACGTCTGTTGGGTAGGTCAGGTAAGCGTAGTCAACTCGGACGAACGTACGCACGGGCCCTGGATCCAAGCTGCCGCTGCTCGACGTTACAGCCTCCTCGGCGGATCTTGAGGCTGACGACGCTCTGTATCTTGCACGAATCTCTGCCACCGTACTGACCTCAACGTATATTTGCGCGCTCTATCCGACAACACAACCTATCAGACGTTTCACGCCCGAGTTCGTGCGCAGCTTACCGATGGGCGCCACTGCTTCAAGCGTGGCCTAGACGGACCTGCCTCAGGACCGCCCGCCTCCGCCTCGACGGCCACTTCAACCTCGCGGCTCTGCATATCAACTCCAACCGGGGACGACAGCGCCATGATTTGCTTCCTCGCTTTTCTGTTCCCGTTCCCGTTGAAACTGCGGCTGCCCGGCTGCGGGGGCGGCGACGGACTCCATCCGTGCCCCCGCTCGAAGATGCAGTCCGCGACGAGCTTGACTGTGCAGTTGTACTTGATCGCGAGCTGCTGGTGGAGCTCTTTGCGCAGGATGCGCGGGGTGTTGAGGTGCATGCGCCAGATGTACGCCTTCTCGGCGCTGACGAAGGATGTCTTGACTGGGACGTCCCATGGCGGAACCCGCCAATCGCGCCAGTTGTAGTTGTACCACGGTGGCATAGCGTTTGGAAGTAAGTCTGTCGAGGTCGGTGGATGCCTACCGTGGCGGGTCTTACAGCACAGGAAGACGTGCAAGAGTCACGCCACGGCAGTAATTGGAATCACTCCTAGGGTGCTATATGTCTTTGGTGAAACCATGGGAAGTTACGGTGAGTTCTTCCTCTCATCTGGGACGCCTGAGCTTGATAAAGCCTCGCAGCTCCAACGTCCAATCCTCATGCTTTGTTCTAGCCCCGTGCACGCAGAGGACGATGATGTAAAGCATCTGGCCCTGGCTGGCCTTATGGTACATTCAGTCACATTACTGGCCTCGAGGCTCAGTTTATTCCAAACTGAAAGCGCACGGCCGATGCTCGCCAAACGCAATCGCGGCGATAACAACTTAACATCTTCCAAGCATAGAACACTCGCGCAATCTACTCCACGCGTCCAAGCTAGAGTCGTAAACAGGCTACAGAACAGTGTCCGTGTGTAGGGGAAAATGTGAGGTAATAGTCCATCCCGGGTCCAAAGCCATCGATGCAAAGTCAATGCGAATGAGTGCCGAGGATATTGAAAGCATGTGCCCGAGGAATTGGGTGATAACAGAGTAACATCTAAAGCATGTGGACGAGTGAGAGTAGAGCAAGAGGGGAGGGAATATATATATACATAGAACGAGCAGAGTCTGCAATGGATGTACCTACGCTGAGAAAAAGGAGCATAAGAGTGTCAAATATCATACGGCGCGCCGCTCATCGGGCGACCGTACGCCTTGTCGGCTCTCGTGAAATGTCCGCGCCGGGCCGCTGTCCGTCTGGTAGATTGCGCACCTCGAGCGGCTGTCGTGGCGTCAGGTCTACCAATTGGTCACCACCCTCGTCGACGTCCGAGTACACCGAGCTGGCCGAGTCTCGCAATCCGGCGCCGGCGACGTGTCCTTCGTCCGTCGGAGGACCAGCGTTCCGCTTGGGACTCCTAGGCGGGATCAGCGGTGGGCCCATGCTGCTGGACGGTGCAATGGCTCCAGGGGTCGATGGCTGAGACCCGCTACCACCCGCAGCGAGCAGCGGCTCGAAGCTGCCAGCGCTTTCCCTCGCTGTATGTCCCACCGCATGCCCCATCGAGCTCGCGCTAGGGCTGTGTACATGGCCACCAGGGGGCGGGCTGCTCGTCCGCGCGGGGAAGTAGCCGTCTCTTCGCGCGCTCTGCGGCGGTGTCTGTGGCGCCACGGCGGCATACGCCGCGTATGGGTCGAAGTCTTGCCTAGGCCCAACAGGGTCGTCCCTATACGGCTGCTGTTGGCCGCCAAGTGATGGCAGGGAGCTCATGGTGCGCGTCGCTGCGCTGGGTGTGGAACGATGCCTCTGGGTCATGGGCCTGTCATCGTCATCATCGCCATCCAATGCTGTACGGTTGAGTCCCGCTGCAGCGAGCGTCGAAGCAACAGCTGTGTCGTACTCAAGGCGGCGATTGCGTCTCCGCCTCCTAATGAAAAAGAACAAGAACAGGACAATGGACGCCGCGGCAAGGCCCACGATAAGAAAAACCCCGGCGACAGCGCCTTTGTTGGTGAAAAACCTGTCCTACCGTTAGACCCGCGCACACGTGTAATGAAAACAGGAACATACTGTGATGCACCGGTGTGATTTGCATCGCTATTTATCGGCGTTGGATTATTCGCCAAGATGGTCACGACGCTGGTGGCGCCATTACTGCCTGTTGTTGTTATGAGCTCAGTGACAACAGAGGGGGTGCTCGTAGTCGTTTGGCCCGCGCTGTTCGTCGTCACGATTACGACTGTGGATGACAAAGTCGTCCTGTTTTAGCGATTAGTATTCAATGTAGCATAGTTCGTAGAAATGATACACACTGAGGAGATGAAAATGCGAGGTTCGCCGTGGTACTGACAATTCTGGATGTGTCACCGGCTGAGGAAGCTGTTGTTGTTGTTGTCGTCGTACCTTGACTTGTTGTGGATGACAGTTGCTGCCGTTGCGAAGCCGGAGTTAAAGATGGTTGAGAGGACTGTGAAGAAGGTGCAGATGGAGGAGAGCTAGGCGGCGTAGGAGATGCAGATGATGGTGGAGGTGTTGGCTGTGTAGTCGGTTGAGAAGAGGTTGGCGGAGAACTTGGCGGGGTAGTTGGCGGAGACGTTGGTGGAGATGTTGGCTGAGACGATGGCGGAGGCGTGGTCGGAGCAGAGGTAGGTGGAGGAGAAGTCGGAGCAGATGAAGGTGGGGGAGAAGTCGGAACAGATGAAGGTGGTGGTGAAGAAGGCTGCGTTGAAGGTGATGTCAACGCGTTCGATGACGGCCCGGACGAGGGACTATTCGAAGGACCCGACGACATGCCTGCAGAAGTGGAACTTTGGATGTCCTTGTTAGTACTTGGAGGCGGAGTCGAAGGCTGGGAATTAGATCTGAACAAGAGAATACAGCAGTGACCGAAGTCAACCGAAGGCGAAGAGGTTTGGGTGGAAAAGGCACTACTCACGGGCTGGATGCGTCCGTTTGTGAGGTCGATGCGGCCGAATCAGAGGGCATGGACGTCGGGGTCGTATCTGGCGTGCTCGAAACTGCGGCTGCGGACGTCGGGGTCGTGTCTGGCGTTCCTGAAGCCGTGGCAGGCGTCGACGGCGGGGCCGAGTTGGCTTCCGAAGGAGTGTTGGAAGACAGATTGGCGGTGAGCGTAGGAGACGGCGTGGATAGGTCTGACGTTGGAGGAGCAGAAGTCGCAGCCGAAGCAGGCGTATTCGAGGGGACGGAGGATTGTTCAGACGCGGATTGAGTGGGCGCACCAGTGACAGATTCTGGACTCTGGGAAGCAGGAACAGAGGCAGAAGGCGTAGCAGAAGGTGGAGGAGCAGCGGACGGTGAAAGTACCGCGCTTGCAGGAGTACCTTGAGACAAAAAGTCGCGGTCAACACGCAGTTGCAAAGAAAAAAATGGGGATGAAGGAGAGGGCGGGCGACGGGCCACTGTGGGAGAAAGAACTAGACGAAAAGACTGCAGGCGTGCTGTTGTCTTTTGCGGGGATTTTGGCCCGTTAACTTGAGCGCGGGATTTGGAGACAAAGGACAGGCTGAAGGAGGTTGTAATTGGGCGATACTAGACGTACCTGTGGGTGGGCCGGACAGGTTGGTACCAGAGGATGCCTGACGCTTTTGGTGGACGTTCTGGATAGGCATCGGGAAGAGGTCAGAAAGGGAACATGTGGGTGGAGGAATGAGAGGGACTCGCAGATGTACTCAGGGTGCACAACGTTTAGGAGGTGGAGGGTCGCAAGCCACGCTCCATCTACACGCGTCACGCCGAACGCTTGGTATGAAGAGATAAGTAGCAGAGGATGAAATCCTCGAGAATTCTATAAAATCAAACTCGCTTTCCCTGTCTAGCCACTTTCTAACCCCGCCGCCGAACGCGTCATAGACGATCTCGTTCCCGTACCCAGCATCGTCCCGTCGTCGTCGTCCACAGCACGGAGCTCGCTGCCACCGACGGCGACGAAACGATTACCGAAGGCTGACACGGGAAACTATCATGGTATCCTCGCGACGAGCGGGACTGGGACGCTCAGCCTCAGAACCAATCCGACTCTCACGATTATCATCGCACCGTGTGCAATACCAACATCTAAGCAGCGGTAAGAGATTGGGCGAACACTAAGCAGATAATTGTGCTGTGCTATGGTGCAGTAAGCTGCCCATATAGTCAAGCCGAGCTGCCTTGCTCAACCACTCATACCGGCGGGCCAGAAGAAGACAGCGTACCTGCGTACGGTCTCAACGAGAGGCACCTGATAGAATCAACTCGATGGGAATACATCACACATACTTGTGGTCGTTTTCGCACCACGCGATAAGCCTACCGGAAGTGAAACCCATATAGATGAGCACCGTGTGGTTCAAACGGGTCGAAGAGAATAGCCCTTGACTTCTACTCCAACCGCCATTCAACGATGACTTCGACGCCGTCCAGCCTGAACGGACATGGATTCGTGAAATCAAGGCCAAATGTCTCGAAGCCGACCGAGTACGGTAACGCTACCGACTTCTGGGTAGAGTACCCGAACGGGCTAGTCGACCTCAGTCGTATCGCGCACCTCCCGGAAGCTGCCAAAGCACATAGCAGGCTTGATGAGCAACTCATACACGAAGACAAAGCTTCTGTGCCTCCCCTCATTGTAGACAAGCAGTGGGAGGTCAAAGCTGACGGCAATCGATCTCTGCGACTCAGCAGGGCCCATACTGCAATTGTTATCATTGACATGCAGAAGTAAGCTTTGGTTGATATCGTGTTTTGATTGGCATCCGAGAAAGCTCAGACTATGCTTTACACAGTTATTTCCTGCACCCTGACCTGAGAGACCATCCAACTGGCCTTGATTGCGTTATGCCATTGATGAACGTCGTTCCCGCTTTGCGCTCCCTTGGGGCTCATATCCTTTGGGTGTACGTAATAGTTCTCGGTCAGTTGGCAACAAACTCACGTCAGGGACAGGAACTGGGGACTTACGGAACATGAGCTTACGACCATACCTCCATCGCTTGTACGAGGTTTCATGAAAGGCGGCAAGGGGGGCTTCGGCTCTGAGCTCCCTGGCTCGTTTGGCCGTCTGCTCATGAGGAATCAGTATAACTCGGCTCTATATGGTCCTCTACAACAGTTGTACGAGCAGGGCAAAGCCGCTGGTACCGACGTTTGGATTCACAAGAACAGGTATCATCATCATTTCTTCCCTGAAACGTGTAACTCTAATTGCTCTTCAATAGAATGAGTGCCTTGTGGGGACCTCAATCAGCACTGGACCTCTACCTGCAGGAGAACGGGATTACGAGCCTTTTGTTCGCGGGGGTGAATGCTGATCAGGTACCGCATCTTGCCCATTCCCGCGCTCGGGGTGGAGTGACACGAGTAGCTGATGATCCACTTGTTTAGTGCGTTCTAGGAACGATCGTTGACTCATACTACAGAGGTTACGACTGCATCGCGCTGCGTGACTGCATTGCGACTACATCCCCACAAGGCGGGCTGGAGAATGTCTTCTATAACTGTGGAAACGTACGTCACATTCCTCGTGACGCCATATAAGTTTTAACGTTGTTCTGCAGAGCTACGGTTTCGTCACAGACTCAGACCAGGTCATACAGTCCGCCGAGAAAGCTGCGAAAAAAGCTTGATTAGTCGAAAAGGAAGGGCATATGTCAAGTTTTGGTACATATTGTACTTTATCTGGAGTCCAAAGGAATATCATAGGTGCCATGATTATGACCATTTCTCATGTGTTTGAGTTCCCTTCCTATACTTACACTATGAGTATTTCCTGGGATCTGCACGGAGAACTATTCAAGCATAATTTCGGGAGCGCGTGGGTCGACGCTGTCCGACTCTTGAACGCAGGCATCGCAGAGATGTCCGCTCGTATGCTCTTCTGTCGTCGGCAATATGCAAGATTTCGTATGCAACGCGGCCGGCAAGGCTTCCCAGAGCCGTAGGCCTTCTTCAACCGTCGCACTCAAGTACAATCTCGACTACGGTCGATTACGATACCCTCGTTGTGGACGACTATAAGTTCGGGAATACCTTCGTGATCGAGTCTGCGGCGACCTATTGGCTAGTGCGCCACATAAGACGAGGTTGATTGTGCATCTTCTCCGTCGCATAGGTTGCGATCGTCGCCCATGCCAAGTGACCCTTCTCGGCGACTGAGCTGTCCTAGGCACACGACTAGCGGCTGCCCTGGTGCTTATCACCATAAAGTTGATGTCGTCTTTGATCACAGCTGGGACAAGGGCACCAGTCGATCTCCGCGAAATTTCGTAGAGCGGGATTCTCTGCCCACCGCTCTTGTGAAAGCCGTTGTCATTAACGACTTGTGAAGGTCATATATCATGTCATTTAAATCATGAGTGCGCGTCACATACAACATCGGGGTACTGTGGCAAATAGTGATAATACAGTTGGCTACAATGCTACAAATGAGTTCGAAGCGTGTTTTTGTTTTGGCGGTACACTGATATCTACTGTCTCCACTCGAGGCTTGGTCTCCGTAGCTGAAAGCCCGTCAACATTATGCGTCAAACCGGCTAGTAGATGGAACTCACATGGGGGCTAACCAATTTGCGTCGGGTGTAAAAGTTGTCTCTGAGCTTTGTTTCTGCAGGGGGTTTGATACCAGACATGTAAGTGTTGTAGTCGGCGAATGGATTCGCAGGGGTCGCGGGATACTGTGACGCAGGAGAATCATAGTCGGCGAATGGACCAGCTGGAGTCGCGAGGTATTGTGATGCGGGGGAACTGAAGTTCGCGAATGGACCGGCGGGGGTCACGGGATACTCGGATGCGGGAGAATACGAACTGTCGGTCATCGACGCAGGTGGTGACGGAGAGCCGTAAGGTTTCTGATCCATGACCTTTGCGTCCTCCGACGTGAGCTGTGTATGCATTAGGAGCTTATTCGCCTGCTCAGCGTCGCGCAAGGAGCTGCGAGGGGGAAGGGGCGCAACAGGTCTCCGTCGCGGCGGCCGAGCTGGTTTCTGAAGTGGGAGCACCGGCGATTCAGTCACGGACGGCGTAACGGGTTCATCTGAGCTTGCGCTCTCCGTCGATACATCTTCATCGCCGCTCGGTAGCGTCGCCGGGTAGATGCTTGGGGTTGATGGCGCAGCAGACGGGGTAGCGGAGGTGTGTTTGATGTGTCGAGGCGTCGGGCGCGAGACTTCGTACACGTTGTCGTTTGTAATCGCCAGGCCAACAACACCACTGCCATAGCTTGGGCGATGCTGATGGTTCGGAGAGGCGGTGGCGTATCCGTTACTTGGGATATTCAAGAGTACTGAACCGTCATACGCTGGCTTTCCCAGGCTCCTGCCGCCTGCTCCCACACCCGCGAGAGTCGTCTCAAGCCTGTCCGAACTGGAGTGGACGCTGGGTGGGTGGCTTCTGACAGGCGCAGCAGACGCGCTAGCGAATTCCTCGTCGAGAAGATTCTGCTGGCCGCGATTCACGCCCAACCCCGCGCCAATTAGATTCCTATGTGACGAGTCTGAACCAGCATAGCGCATCTGGGTCGACGGTGTCGCTCTTGGGTCCTCGAAGGGGTTATCGGGCTGCGGAAGCGGGCGAGAAATACTATGGCGAATGCGTCTGCGACGGCGACGCTTGCAGAGGAAAAAGGCGATAAGAGCAGCAATTGTCGCAACGATAAGTCCTACCACCACAAAGACACCTGCGACAGCACCGCCATGGCTGAAGAAGCTAGAACAGGATCTTACTACGGTGTGTAAAAGAGGGCTTGACATGATACTTACCCATTATGTGTAGAGGTATCTCCTATGGCCCAAATACCGGTCGGATTCGCCTCGATATGGGTAGCGGTGACGAGACTGCCGTTGGAACCTGTAGACACAGCAAGGCTCGTGATGACAGGTGGAATTGTGACCGTAGTGTGTCCCTTCGAGTCTGTGGTGGATATAAAGATCGGATTCGAAAGAGTCGTTTCTGGGTGGTCTGTGATTGTACTGGTGGTGGTCGCAGACTGCGCATTTGCTTGATTGGCGGTGGGGTTAGAGATCACAGAACTCGATGTGCCATTGTTCGCAGATGAACCTGGCGTTGAGGACGATATAGGAGCCTGGAGACCACCATTGTGAGTCACTGCGGACGAAGACGCTTGTCCAGCTGGGGCAGAGGAAGTCACGCCCCCGGGAGCAGAAGATCCACTAACCGCTGGAGACTGCACATTCACCTCGCTAGAGGAGCTGGAGACAGGTGTTGCGCTACTCTGCAAAGAAGTCGAGGAGACAGCACGAGTCGAAGTGGCCTGAGAGGAAGGTTCTACGCTCGAAGATGGTGCAGGCGAGCTCGAGGGCTTTGTAACTTCTGACGAAGACAACGCTGGTGCCGATGCTGCTGTAGAAGATGGCTGTGGAGACCCGGAAGAAACGTCAGGAGCTTCGCTACTCGAGTTCAGCTCAACGGGGGCCGCCTTCACAGCTGAGACGAGAGCGGGCGAAGATGAAGTCGGTGCGACGGAGCTACTGTCCGATCCTTTAGACGAAGCGGCCATACTAGTAGGAACGGTAGAAATAACAGTGCTGTTATTAAATATAAGCCCAAAAATCAGGTATATAATCAGCAGACTCAGTTTGGCTTACCTGGAAACGACGTCGTGGTTACCGGCAGGCCGAGCTATAGGATTGGATGCCCGGCTGGGCGAAGCTATCGCGCTCACTGGCAATGAAGAAACTACGGCGGGGGAGCTAGCACTAAGGTTTGGCGGGACAACCTCGGTAGAGGTCGGTTCAGGCACCGGCTGGATTCGTCGACTCTCGGAAGCGGAAATACTCAGAGAGCTCGGTATAGCCTTGATTGTCGAGGGTTCGGAATTGGAAGAGCTGATACCAGTAATGATGCTGCTCTTCGATGGAACAACTGACGTAGGCCCGACAGGTATGCTGGAGGACGAGCCAATGAAGGAAGCCTTGGAAGGAACGTCGCTGCGTGTAGAGGAAAGGAAGGTAGAAGTTGAGGAGAGATGTGATACAGTGGATGCGGCGGCCTGGAATGAGGTGGCGGGGAAAGAGGAAAATTCGCTAAAGGTTGAAGGAGTTGAGGAAATAGACACAGCTGACAGGTCTGCGACGGGGAGACCACGCTGAGCAGAGCGTGTAAGGACAGCTGCCGCGGAGAATGCGGAAATTTGGGGCGAGGTGGCGGGGAAAGAAGAGATTCTGCTGAAGGCTGAAGGGGCTGAGGCAGCGGACGTGGCTGACGGGTCTACAGCGGAAAATCCACGTTCAACAGAGCGAATTGGCGTTGCCGCGGAGGAGAACGGGAGAGTTTGAGACGAGTCGACAGGGAAGGAGGAGGTCGTGCTCAAGGCTGAGAGGGTCGGGACAGCAGAGGCAGTTGACGAGTCCGCAACGGTGAGGCTACCTTCAGCGGAACGGGTGGGAATTGCCGCAGAGGACGATATGGAATCTTGGGACGGGACGACGGGAAGAGAGGACAGTCCGCTGAAGGTCGAGGCGGTCGAGGCGGCAGGTGCAGTTGATGAGCCTACGGCAGGGGAGACCACTCTCGACGAAGCGAGTGGGAGTGACCGCTAAGGACAATGCGGTAATAGGCTCGACGGGGACAGAGCTCGCCCCAGAAACGGCGGCGCTCAGTCGTCGGGAGACGGCAGAGGACGCAGGGGAAACAAAGGGACTGGCAGTCACTTGGCTCGCAGGGTTAAGAGGCGAAGCCAGAGATGCGTCGTTGCCGCTCAGCGTGACCCCTGCTTGACAAATATAAGCCTCCGGAGGTCATGCGAACACGTAGCAGATGGGTAGTGCAGTTGCTCACCTGGAACGGTAGACATCGCCTGCGCAGCGTAGGACGGGACGCTGGTGCCTACCTATACCTTGATAGGAGCAGGGAGCCTGTGAAAGCTCGTCCGGGCAGGTATCGACCCAGTCCCCCATCTTCTGTCGCTGTGGGATATATGTTTGCTGAGGATTGCGAGAGGCGACTTGCTCCTGTTTTGGGCACGGTTCGTCGGCACCTGGATATCCTGTACTAATGTTTGCGTAATTTCTCTGCTTTGGCTGTAGCCTACCGTGCACCTGTATCATGCTGCATTGAACATATGACAATCTCACGTAGCATTACCATATGATTGAGGAGCTAACCGCGCGTCATTCCTCACGTCTCTCATGTCGCACGGCTTCTCTTCGCACATTGTCGACTCTAAATTCTGCAATTCTGCCATATGCTGCCCGAGCAAATGGGTGTGGCCATGTGGTTCTATCTGACCACCTGGGCCGACAAGAGCAAGTTAGCCGGGGTTATCGACTGGCTGGCAGAGCCAAACTTGGCCGGCCCCGCTCTGGTGACCTGCGTTAAACCTACGTCCGCGTTGTCTACACTTCTTCATCAGACAACAGCGAAGATCTTACGGCCTTCGCGCATGTGCTAAGCTAATGGCTCATCCGTATCCGAGGCTCTTCCAGCTTTGACCATGTCAACTGACAGTGTGAACCTGGTGAGAAGTTCGGAGATCGGTATGCCTCGGTACGCGACTAGGCGTGCAACGCACGAGATTTACCCGATCCCACCACGCGAAGGGGAAGGAACAGAGGCATTCTCAGGCGGAGTGGGAGTGGATAAAACGGCGTAAAAATATCTGTAACACATCGGTCAAAGTGAAAGTCTACCAGCATGACCATGGTTACTGGTCCAAACCTGACAGATCCGGCAGCGGATCGCAGTGCACGGGAATGATGACTCAATGAGTACTAAGTAGCTGACCCGTCATAATAAAGACTCACGTCACTGTCCTCCGCACAGCTGGTGAACACAGCTTACGTTACATGTGTGCGCCAATCAGCAACACTTATTCCCACCGGGTAACCGTAGCTTCACAGTGCCTTTCCTACGGCTACCGCTCAGGCTCCCAAAGCTAAGCCGGCTCGAGCTATTGACACGTCGGAGAGCACGGTCGCCATAGCTAACACCGCTTCCGGCTTTCTCAGGATCCAGCGCACCGGATTCGATGGCGAGCAATATCGACCGAGCGCACAGTAGGAATGGTGCTTCAACGTTGTCCCCCGTGAGTGACGATGCCTCCAGGAAGTGTACGTCTAATATTAATATGTCCATGAGGCTGACACCGAGCACACTATACCAAGAAGAGACGCACCATTCTCAGCAGCCCACCGGCTGGCCTCCGCCCACTCCACTTCCCTGTCCTCTTCCCGATCGGCCTTGTTGCCGACCAGCACGCAAACTAAATGAGGACTCCCGAGGGCTCTTGCATCCGCAAGCCATCGAGATAAGTTCAAAAAAGATGCGCGACTGCAATGATCTGTTTTGGTACATTAAAACGCAAGGGAGGAATGTGGCTGCTAACCTCGTGATGTCGTAAACCAGGATGGCACCAGCAGCACCGCGGTAGTAGCTTCGGGTTACAGACCTGATGCAATCCCTGTGAGTACAATCATGGAGAAATCGGAGCTGTTTTGGTTGTACCTGAAGCGTTCTTGGCCTGCCGTGTCCCATAGCTGGCGCGGGTTCCGTGTTAGACCGATTGACCGCATGCAAGGTGGATAAGGCGAACCTGCAGTTTTATCCTCTTCTCACCCAATTTGACGGTTCTACTTGAAAATTCTACTCCGATGGTATGTTGAGAGTGTTCCTTGACTGCGATGTATGACGGTTAGCATGAATGCGTACCGAGAGGAGGCGTGAGCCATACAAGAATTGTGCGTGAATTGATGTAGTAAGCAAGATTTGCCAGTTCCCGCTTCGCCTATAGGGATGTAAGAAGTGTGGACAATACATAGGGAGCTCTTTTGGCCCACCAATGATAATATACTTCATGAGAAAGTCTAGGTACGTTCCAAAGGTCAGGAGAGCTGATGCAAACAGCATGAAGTGCCTAACCGTAAGTTTCCAGTAGCTCCGTAGCATCTAAATCATAGTCGTTGGCCATTGCGGATGAGAGGGAGACGAATAGTAGCAGATTGCCCTTCCGGGCTTGACAGCATGTATTACAGCGAACGAGAAGTAGACCATGGCTCGTCTCCGCACACTGTGCATGGCTCAGTTATCACGTGACGTAGTCCGAAAATGGCAAATCCGAGACGTGCGCAGCCGCTCCTGATGACTTTCTGGTTTCCCTGCGCTTTGTTTCTAACACACGCACGTCGAGACTTTGTGGGGAAGATAGCAACAGCGACCGACTAACAACATATATTACCATCCCTTCCATGGCACCCAGACGTCCTCGACAACATTGCCTCCCCCGTTAATGCTGGAGTCTACAACATAGTACCACGGATGCCCCGCCAGAGTCAGACATGCATGCTGCCCGACAATCTCAACAACCTCTCCGACTTTTAACGCATCGCGTCCTGTTGGTGGACCCGCCTCAGGACTCCTAGTCAACGTGCCATGCTCTTGCGAGATGCGGCCCAATTTCCAAGATTTGCCTAGCACTTCGCCGAACGTACCGCTCGGGCCTGTGTCTTTGCTCATCGCGAGCGCTCCCGCGTCGCACATTGCCTCATCTGTGCCACCGACGCCTCTGCCCGGGTAGTATGAGATGACCGTCGTCAGGACTTTCTGGGCGACACGCGACCGGTCAACGAGATTTGTGTGCAGCTGCTGAAGATCAAGAAGAGGGTAATTGCCTTGTGGGTCCTCAGCTGCGGTTACCGCTCGCGTTATTTGACCGGGTACTCACCAGCATGCAACTCAAGCGTCCCGTTCAATGATGACGCCAACCTGTCTCTGGTCTCGACACTTGCTGTATGGGCCGTAGGCGTCGAACCAACTGCGAGGACGAATGGAGCTGAGATTCTCGATTCAACACCCGGCATTCCCGGTATCATCGACAGTGCCAGTCCTGCGGCTGTATTCACCGCGTCAACTTCCGCGGACAGAAACGTGCTGGCGGTAGTAAAGGAGGTAGAAGCGTAGGATTGACCAGCGTGGCTGTAAAAGCCGTAGATGGAGATGATAGGTGAGTTAAGGAGAGCGATCAAGAGCTCCTCGAAGGCTGCTGAAGTCGGTACCAATCCTGCTCGTCTGGGCCAATTGTCAAAGCGTGATAATAGGACGCAAGGATCTCGACGTACTTTCCGCCAGCATCGACTTTGACAAAGACTGACCATGTTCTGGGGTTCTCTCGTCGGCTCTCAAAGAGTTCAAGAAGTTTGACTTGGTCAGGATGGTCTATCATAATGCGTATTATTGCACCGTTTTGAGCAATTTCGTCCCATAGTGCCGACAAGTCGGCTATCTTGTTCGGAGGTAATGGAAGGCCGTAGAGGATCTGCGGGAGACAGGAACTTCATATCATTTACAGTTGACACCCCCGGTACTCGACGTACATCGGTAACGGTCCCGTCTGCCACCAGCCCTGCCTTCACGACCTCGCAAGCTTCCATTAGTGTTGAGACGACGATTGCATGCGTCTTGTCCGAGGAAGAACTAAGCTGAAGTGTCGTCCCCTCGGCCGTCTGACGGCGTATTCAGTTCACGTCGTGCGATCCGGACCCACGCTGGAGGCCTACCTTGTGAGTTTTAACATGGGCACGAAACGCTGCTCCCCACTGTTTTGCTTTATCGTGCATCCTCGCACAATTACTGGCGTAGACGGCGCGGTCGATGACCACTGCGGGCGTTCTGAGAGCATGGAGGGGCTGGCCTCTGAAAGTGGCGACAAGTGCGCTCTTCTGAGGAAGGCCGATCAGGTGGTGAGGCGTCCTCGTCTGCGGAGGGAGACCTTGGAGGGTGCCGTTGTAGACAGGCATGTCTGCGGTAAGCACAGTACTGCTCAAAGTGGCGAAGTGGAGGTTAACAAGCCTATCGATCTCTCGCCCGGGTTCCAGAGTCACTGGCCGGGTGTCCGGTCCGGTGATATCTCCTCGGCCGGTGATCACAGCTCCCTCACGGACCATGGTGCGGCTTATCACCTTAGTCAGTCACGGTCTTCACGCGTACCATCTCGGTAGCACGCGCACGATCCACGCAGCACACCCTCCCGCTTCTATAAGACACAGCAACCAATAACGTGACTCCCATACGCGTCCGCCCGACACTTCCACAATGGCAACAGTCCAGCCCACCAGGACAATCTATCAGCCCATCCACCCCGAGGTCCTTCCCAAGCTGCTACCCGAATATGTCGAGTTCCACAACGCCAACACGGCCTTCGTACCTGCTGTTCATGAAATCCCCGTGGGATCCTTCGTGCCGCCAGAACCCGCCTGTGGTGGGTGGGTCCGAGCCGTTACCAGTTGGCTCGGTCAGGGACCTATCTCTGAGCCACTGCAAGGTGCGAGTTTTCGCGCCGGAGGGCCAGCAACCAGCCGAAGGCTGGCCTATCTTTCTCTATTTCCACGGAGGCACGTTCGCCTCAGTTTGGGTACTTCGATCGATCGCTAAGTCGTGCTTGGTAGGCGGATGGACTCTCGGTAATATCAACACTGAGAATGCGTTTGCAACGAATATGTGCAAACGTAAGTGCCCTATGTCGTATCCATGTTTGGTTCTCATGCGGCATGCTGGTAGGTGCGAAATGTGTCGTCGTGTCTGTCGACTATCGTCTCGCTCCCGAAGCTAAATACCCCAAGGCGGTCCAAGATGCGGAAGAAGCATTGTACTGGGTGCGAGACCACGGCAAGGGCGAACTTAACGGCAACCTGAGCAAGTTTGCTGTGGGTGGGTCGTCAAGGTCTATTCGCTCGTTTCATCCTAACAGACCTGGAACTCACCTAATTACTGTACAGCGGCGGCAACCTTGCCGCCATCGTTTCTCATAAAGCTGCTCTGGCAGATCCGCCCATTCCACTCGTCTTCCAGCTCCACGTCGTGCCTGTCGTAGACAATACGGCCCAGCCCTCGGGCGTACCGTACACATCCTGGATTGAGAACGCGAGAACGCCCTCGCTCTCGCCTGCCAAGATGCTATGGTACAAGCAGAACTACTCTCCGGACGAGGCGGACTGGACAAAGTGGGACAACTCGCCTATCTTTGGGCCGGATGAAGCCTTCAGGGGCGCTCCGCCGACGTGGATCTGCGTTGCGGAGTTGGATATTCTAAGGGATGAAGGTATCGCATACGCGGAAAAGCTGAAAAGCTTTGGTGTCCCTGTCGAACTGAAGATCTACAAGGGCTGTCCACATCCTATCATGGCTATGGATGGGTGAGGAGCTTCATCCTTGATGCCCCATGCTCCAACGCGTCAATTCACACTTACAACTGTTGCATCGCAGTGTCCTACAAATTGGGAGACAACTAATCTCGGACGCCGCTGAAGCCCTGGCAAAGGCCTTTGAAACCTTGTAGATACAGCAATGTGTACAATTCAGATCCATGGACTTTTTTCGTGCTTCACGCCGTTGTTCGAATGCTTCAGGAAGTCGCGATGGCCTCAATTTCAACATCGACATCGTTCGGCAGCCGGAGCGCAGAGATGCAGGTGCGTGCAGGCTTCGGACTGGGCAGAACTGGATAGCTAATCAGATGTGTATTTGGGTGGGCGCAGCGATATGAAGTACTTACGCTTCTCATAGACCTCGTTCATCGCCACAAAATCGTCCATGTTTTTCAGGTACACGTTGACTTTGACAACCTTCTCCCAGGACGATCCTGCAGCCTTGAGCACGTTGCCGAGGTTTGCAATGCATTGAGCCTGTGCGGTACAGCAATCGCATCGTCTCATTGGCCTGCGAGTCGAAGTGAGCTCGTACCGTGTGCTCCTGGATACCACCTTCGACGACCTTCCCATCACTGCCGACCGGGGTTTGTCCGCTGAGGAAAATCAGCCCAGGTATTTTCGTAGCATGTGCTGAGTTATGTTCATCAACCGCGCCTGAGCAATACGCTTAACAGACGTACAGAGGATGTGCGGGTGAGCTGGGTTTTCGGGAGAATTGATCTTCTCGACGGTGGACATCGTAAACGGTTCAGTAACCTCAGAGTGATGGGCCTGATGTTCGTGGAGGTTGCGGAGAAGGAGAGAGGGCACGTCCCTGCGGGCGAGCTTAACGCAACGAATAACGATAGCCTCTGATCGATCATCGACATAATATACCGATTAATACCGATAGGCCGTACGGCGCAGTGGAATACCTGCAGTCCGCTCGATCACTCTGGACCAATAGCTGCACACGTGGGAGACGTCCGGAGCTGAAGGATTCGGATAGATTACACGAAGAACAGCGAAGAACTCATTCCTGTTGCAATATCACGTGAACAGTATTATTCTAGAAAGTCTAGTTCGCAGAAATTACCACCAGTGCGAAGTTTGAACAGAGGTTGGCGACTGTCAGCTGGCGCATGCGATCGGCGCTGTCTTGGATGGAGAATAGCATTAGATCTGGTAAGGAAAGCATCATTTGAGAGTAAGCAATCGCTCTGCATCAACTGTCTCCCAAACCTGTCAAGAATCAGAATTCGACGGCGTCCGAACACGCGTAGGGAAGTTTGCCTAGCACAATACTTGAGATACATAGGATCAGAGAGCAGAAAAAGGGTAAGACGATACAAGAGGCTGTACTGTTATCCTGCGCACAACAAAAAAAGAGATCAGTATGCCACAGAGACGCAGCACCAACGGTATTCGACCGAGATCTCATTGATGGGCCTGGAGAATAGCGTCGGAGATGAATGCAGCAGAAACCTGGCGTCCGCCAAACCAGCGACCATGAAGACCTTCGATGGCCTTCTTGGCGGATTCAATGGAGTCAAACTTGACATAGATTTCACCCTAGGAAGAATGAGCCGAGCTGTTTCGTGGAAGCGGAAAGGACACGTACCTGTGATTCCCTCTCCACTTTGATAAAGTTGACATCGCCGTATTTATCTTCAACTTCATTTTTGACATCGTCAGCAAGCTCTTTATCCCAATCACGCTCGGTTTCCCTGCGCCACAAGTAGAACGATCAGCCAGCATTTGACAAAATGTAGGCATTATACTGACTCCTCGGGGTTAAACATGTTCTTCAGCAGAACCGACTTTGATTGCATCGATTGCGGGATATTAGGCTTCATACTGTGTAACATGAGACGATCAGCATATGTGGCTTCCAGATAATAGGTTCATGGCAACTCACATGGGCTGAGGGCGAGCAGCAGGCTGGTCAGTCCTAGCAAGTTTCTGCATCAGCGCCTGTCGGGATGCCGCGTTCAGGTTACCACCTAGGGATCTGTCAGCTCGATGTTTGTGCATTCGAGTGTGTGTGCTTACCGCCAGTGTCATCCAGAGATTCCTGAGGAGTGTATCTGACGTTGCCCTTCTCGTGAACAGTATTTACACGGAGCTGCAGCTTTCATTATTTTGTAGCCACGCGATCACCAGATAATAAACTTACAGTGCGCCCAGCCAGCTCGAAACCTTCCATTTGCTCCAGAGCCATCTTGGCGTCTTCACCTCGTTTGTACTGGACGAAAGCGTAGCCCTTGCTGCGGCCAGTCATCGGGTCCCTATGAAGGTCAACGAATTCCAGTTCGCCGAAAGGCTCGAAGACCTGTCTGATATCGGATTCCGTGAGATTAAAGTGCAAGGAGCCCACGTAGAGTCTAGAGGGGAGATGAGCACACGTGTTTATGCGTAGAATAATGGGACTCACTGCATGCCGCCGTGGTGAGAACTGACGCCGGGAGGTAGATGCAGGCTGGAGTATAAGGGGATAAGATTCATGTAATACGATGTTGGTAACGACGCACCTGTCTCCAGCATGCGTCCTATTCCTCTCAGCTTCGGTATGCTGGACCTGAATTGGCAAGCCCATGACAATGGTCCCGCTGAGACCGATGGCCTTCTCGACAAGCTCGATTGTACGGAACTCCACATAGCCAATACTACAAAGAACGTCAGCGAACATGCAGGACTGACAGCACATGTACCCACCCCTTAGAACGCCTGGAGATCCTGTCAGTCACGATACGAGAGTCCATGACAGCACCTTCGCCGAGTTTATCTTCGAAGAAGTAGCCGAGATCACGAGCAGTAAGACGGGCAGCCAGCTGAGAGACAAAGACAGACCGAGCTTCAGAATCATCTTCTCTTGGTTCTTCAGCCAGAGGGTCGTCGTTTGACTGGTCATAACTAGGGGAGGGACGCCTTTCACAAAAAGTGAGACGCTGGATCCAACCAAAATGAGCGCATATACCAACCTGACTGGGGGAGTGCTTTTCCTGTCCGAGCCGTATGGAGATCGTAGGCGAGCACTGGTGCTGCGGTGATGGCTTGCGCCATCGTAGTCGTCACGGGGATCGCGCCTCTTGTCACCGTACCTGCGGTCACGGTCAAAGTCGCGGGAACCGTCTGGGTGACGGCGAGGACTATCACCTAGAGGTGGCGGAGGAGCGGGTAGCCCAGCGGAGGCAGGAGGAGGAGGAAGAAGAGAAGATTCAGTACTGTCGTCTTCTTTCTTGCGCTTTAAACGGTCTTCCGGCGAATCGTCCATGGTATCGTCGCGCTTGCGACGGCGATCCCTGTATTCTCTATCCTCGCGGTCACGATCGCGGTCGCGGTGACGGCTCTCACCTCGCTCCCTGCGGTGCCTTTCGCTCTCGCGTCTTCTTTCTCTGTCGCGTTCCCGGTCATAGTCTTTATCCTTGTGAGACCGCTCACGAGAACGATCCTTGTCACGGCGATCTCGGCTCCGCTTTTCATCCGGCTCATCTCGAAGTCGGCGTTCATGCCTGTCTCTGTCTCTCTCCCTCTCGCGCGACCTGGAACGATGAGAACGACGAGTTCTATGGGTCTCGGTTGAATGGTTGCGTGACCTGTGTAATAAATTCGAGATAAGTAGTGAACAGGACAATTGTCAAAGTATGCACGCACGACTTTGAATGTCCGTCTGGAGACACAGCCTTGTCGACATCCATCTTTCCGTTCGGTGGCGACGACATGTTAGCCCTCAGACTGCGCAGATTTTCGTACAATGGGTTCCGGGTAAAGCTGCGCCGTCACGCTTCGTGACCATAACTCAAAGTGTTTAGTGACTGAGCAGTCACGGCGTCACGTCCGTCATTATGGGCGTCAGCATCTCAGCCTGCGTTCTCTCATTGTCTTCGAATGAATCACGAAGTTATGTTCTGATTTTGAAGAGATGATCTAATTACAGATTCTATTATTTGCCTACAACAAGCCTTGCAGCCTGCTCCGGACCCTCTGCTCTGCTTGCGCGAGTTCGCTCTTTGAATGTTCAGCATAAAGCTGCTCCAATGGGTTCGTAGCGTCCTGCTTTTCCAAGTCGGCCTCGATCTGGCTGAACTCTTTGCAGAATTTTCCATTGAGGACCTGGTTGTACAGGATATCCTTGAAGTGCGCTCGCGTAGCAGACCCGTCGAGCTGTAGTGCACCCTTCAGCTGCCCGTATTGTGATACGGTGGAGTGATGCTTCAGCTACGGAAGTTGTGAGCCTCTCATTCCTCTCAAGGTTAAGAAAGCGTCACACACCTGGGTGATAAACCCATCTTCCGCTGCTCGTTCAAAGATTTCGGCGGGCTCCTTGGACATCCACATTTCGTAGCAGAGCGCTTCGTCTGAGCATCCGGCTTCCTTCAGCACACTGAACGCCTCCCTGATGAATGTACTTCTATTAGCATGCTCACATGAGGCTCATGCGGCAGACCACATACCTGAACAGCACAATGATATTGGGCCAGAGTGCTTGCTCAGCGAAGAGGTCCATCGCTGTCTCCTCCTTGGCTGAAGATGCAATAGCACCGGCCTTGGTGGCTCCAATGCCTTTGGACAAAGCCAGCGCAGTAGCTAGTGCGTTCCCGCTACCATCTTGCTCCGCAGATACGAAGCAAGGGAAACCTTTTCCCTTCTGATAGAGACTGCGGACCGAGGAACCAATCATCCTAATGCCAGGGTGAGCCTCCTGTCCGATGCTGCGAAACGAGGGACTGACCTTGGTGCGACCATGACGACGTCTTGACTAGGCTTGAAATTCAATAGCTTGAAGAACACATTGTAACCGCTGGCGATCACGATGGTTGTACTATCCTTCAAGTTCGGAACAAATTGCTCGTTAAACACTCGCGGCTGAACCTGATCAGGGATCAACAGGAACACGACTACGGGGGCCTGTCAGTCAGAGGGCATCGCTGCGGACCCAAGTACGAACCATCAGCAGCTTTCGCGGCCTTCGCAAAGTCATATTCAACGTTAAATCCTCTTGACTTGGCGTCCTCTGCATAGGAGTCTGGTCGGTTTGCAACGATAATCGCTTCATTCGGAATGCCGGAGTCGCGCAGATTCTGTGCTTGAGCTGCTCCCTGATTGCCAAAACTACACGACTGTTAGCTATAACAGCTCGTAAGAGTCGGCTCTATTCAGTACGCACCCCAGGAAGACGATGGTCTTGTCGTTGAGCAAGGCTAAGTCGGCGTCGTTGTCGTAGTAGCTGCAGGGGCAGTCAATCGATGGCACCGTCGCTGCTGCATACAGTTCGCTCACATCTTTGCTGAAACCATGTCGAAGCTTAGACCAGTGTCTGGATACTGACTCGTGCGACCTACTTCAGGTTATTATACTTGTACTGGTCGGCAACTTCGGGCAGGATGCCAATCCGTACCTCCGGTCCTCGCAGCAAATCTCTGGTGCTAACTATCCTAAAGCTTCCAATGACACTATACACGCCCCTGTGACCCCCACCATGCGGTAGACCGAATAACAAAGTTGTTGCCCAGCGGCCCGCGGGACCGCCCATCCTTCTGCACTCCCATCAGGCTTACGCTGGTCGGTATGAAAGTGGAACTGGCCCTGCGTGGGGCACGTACAAAGAGACCGGTACCTCACCCCCATGTCAGCCTGGCCCGGACATGGCGCTTTTACCCGGTAAGATCGTTTGTATCACTGGGTCGTCGCGAGGTATCGGCCGAGCCTGTGCTGTCGAATGCGCAAAACAGGGCGCAAAGGGCCTCATTTTACATTATCTGGGGGATGCCGCGACCGAGCAGGAGGTCCAAAGCCTGAGGGAGGACATAGAGGCAAACTACGCCCCTACCAAGGCTGTTGTCGTCGCGGGTGATATCGGTGACCCTACGACTTCCTCAAAGGTAACCACTCGTATCGCTGTTGTAGCAAGCCTCCGTAGCCTGATGTACTCTCCGCAGATTGTGGAAGCCGGTGTTGCAGCTTTCGAACGGATAGGTGACTCTGGTAATCACGGGGTCTACGAGAGGAGCTGACAGCAGCACTAGACGTCCTCGTCAGCAATGCCGGGATCTGCCCATTCGCAGAGTTTTTGACGATGCCCCTTGCAGTTTGGGAGAAAACTAGGCAAGTTAACTTGGACGGCTCGTTTTATGCAACCCAGGGTATGGATTCTTCCCCTTTCCTAGCTCAGGCTAACTCCATACTCCGCCCAGCCGTCGCAAAGCAAATGGAAAAGCAAACTCCTCAGGGAGGTTCTATCATAGGTATCTCCTCGATCTCTGCCCTCGTTGGCGGAGGCCAACAGTGGTCAGTGAGCTCTGACATTTTGTTCGGCAGAACACTCACCGCATGTTCAGCCACTATACACCAACGAAAGCGGGCATCCTCTCCCTCATGCAGAGCTGTGCCGTCGCTCTTGGGAAATACAATATTCGCGCAAATGCAATTCTTCCCGGAACAATCGCCACCGACATCAATAAAGAAGATCTCTCCGACGAAGTGAAGCGCGAGGGTATGATAAAGCGCACATGTCTGGGACGGCTAGGTAGTGAGTCACCCTTTACTCATAGTGATGTGGGTCCCCGGATTGACATGGCAACAAGCACCGGAGGACATAGCCGGACCCGTTGTATTTCTTGCGAGTGACCTCGCCAGATATGTTACGGGCGCGTCGCTGCTTGTGGACGGAGGTCTATTCGTAAACTTGCAATAAATACGCCGTCCGGTTAAGTACACCGAGCTAATCAATGCTTCTCGTCGCTTGCAATAGTAGGCTCCAGACGTTGACCATTCACCACTGCCGGCTCCGCATCCACTAGCACGCATACCCATCTTGCCCAGTCTGGCCCTGGATTCCTCCAGGCGTGCATAGTACCCTTTTGTACGACGACGGTGCCCGGCTGATCTATCAATTGCTCAGTGCCATCCTCGAGCAAATGGACCAATCGGCCGCTAACTAGTGAGACCCACGATCCATGAGCAAGTCGTCCCAGTGCGTCAATAGAGGATGCTTTGTTACTCACTCAAGATGTTATAATCCAGAGACGATGTGCGGTGCTACTTCATCATGAGTTGCTAGCTATAAAGCTGCCGGCTATAGCAGCTCACCCAGGTTGCCGTTGTCCCAGGAGCCAAGTCTGTCATGTTACAGACCGTCCCGCCTCGCTGGACTATTCCGAGGTCACCGTTAGGCTGACGCTTCGCACCGTCCGTACTAAACCTACGTTAAGCTAGCACCTGAGTGCAGCGGAACGGAGGGGGGCCTACGCATCATTGTTATCTTGTGCGGGCACACTTTCCGTTACCCAGAGAATGTGGCTCTTTACGCCGGGAAAGGCATCGGAAGGCTACAGGTTCATGTTAGGGGTCAAAGGGTGAGTATCGTACTGTTAATAAACGCATACCTGCAGTTCTATCGTGTCACTAGTCTGCGCGGTACTGTGCCCAGATGTGTTGTGCGCCGTGACAGTGCGGGACACTGGGGATAGCTCAGTCATTTAGAACCTTGAGGCTCTTGAGTGGATGATAATCAGTGAAGCTGCGTCGAGGCAGGCTTACCCGCCTAATAAACACTTACAAAGGAAACGGCAGTGAAGTCCGTCGAGGAGTAACGGGTGCCATTGCCACCAGTCGCAAAGATCACCACGCCTATATCAGCTGACTATCCGGGCCGCCTTGGAACAGACAAGGTCACACCTGCCATACAGCAAGAACCGGTCTGCGGTGCGGTGGTGTCGGCATGCCAGCTCTGTAATTTTGCACAAATTAAGGACTTTAGAGGGTATTGGCTTCAATGACTATTTGGGAAGATATTAAAATCTTCTTCCCCTCCTCGCGGCTGCACACGTCCTTTTGCCATTCTACCACCCGAAGGCGGCTTGGTCCGTATTCCTCAGGGTTAGCTGAACTTTATCGACTGTCGCCCAAGTTGCGCGTAATGGGTGCGTAGAGGAGGGTCTCCGTAGCAGTTGATATCCCCTATTGGCAAAAGCGAAGTCTTGAACGTCCCGTTCGCAGCTGCAGTAGTTTCCGATACAACCCATCAATCACTGATTGCAAGATTACAAAATAAAAGCACGTATACATAGCGTAAGACAACAACGAGAAAGCACAATAACTAAGGGGCAGTGTCTGGCCGAGAGCGCAGTCAATACAGAGTCCAGGTGGGAGCGGGAGGATGCGGCACTTACAATAGTGGTACTCATTGATCAGCGGAATCCAGTCCTTTACAAACGCGCTCATAACACTGAGAACAGGCATATTGGCCGTCCTTTCGGCGAATGCGTCCAACTTAGGCCTAAAGCAAAGGCATGAAGAGTTAATCATTTTGCTTGATCAATGCAGTACATACCGGGTCCAGGTTTCCCAGATTGAGCCGCGCAATAGGTACCACACTATATCAGCGTCTCTCCTCGAGTACTCGGAGCGCTCCAGTGTGGCTGTAGAACCAGGCGTGCGCCGAAGCTGCCTCGCGATGAACTCGAGGGCAAGGGCAGTAATCAATGGCCGTTTAGCATTGCGACCGGAGTCGTTAGCCAACATGATAGCTGACATGTAATCAGATCGTAATCACGCGGACGGAGAATATTCAATACTTGCCATAGATGAGTGGCCGCAAGATATACACTGTCTCCGCAAGCCAGTCCTTGGGTCCAGCAAGTCGTTTGAGGAGCGCTGTCGGCGCTTTGACAGAGGTCGGTAAGAGTGCTTTAGACAGGAGATACCCATCGACTGGGTCCTGCGAGGTCGGGGGCGGAGGCTGGACGATCAAAGGATGTGGTGGAAGAGGGACGCGATTGTTCCTGAGGTGGTCGGGAGTTGAGGATACGGATTGAGGTGGGGACGAGGGCGCAAGAGTAGGGGAAGATGCTTCTGAGAGATTGTCTGGTAGCACAGACGGGTCGAAATCCCGTTCTGGGACGGAAGGTGAGAGCAATGGCCGGCGTGTGGTGCGCAATAGCGTGAAGCGGAGGGCTGCTCTAAAGGAATAGTTATAACAGGAGATAGAAGATTGGATAATCACACATACTTGATAATTTCGATGAGCACTATGCCTCTCCACCGCGCTTGGGAGGACACCCTTCTCCGGAGACCCATCTCAATCAACAATTGCACAAACTTGATGAGTTCGAGTGCCCGCGCAGCCCATTTGTATCCCCTATCCCTCTCACACCATGCTCGAGTGTACCGCGCATGTAGTGAGGGCGAAACAAACTGTCGCAGCTTAGGGTCAGACTTGACCACTTTTGAAAGAAGGGTATCATGGTAGAGACTGGTCACGTTCAACAGCGCGGAAACTAGAGACAGTGACGTATTAATTGGAGGCGGAACAGTCAGGTTGTAGCAGCAAGTAACTAACGCGCTTCTGAGGCCAACTCAGCATCCTTGAACCTTCCGGGTAGGATCCAAGTAATAGAGCGGAGAGAGGACTCTAGAGTTGAGATGACAGAGACATTGTTGACCAGAAAAGACTCGTAATGAGCGAGAGCAGACGACATGCAGAAACGGAGACTAAGGTCAAGAGGGACGTGAAGGAGAAGGACAGACGAGCGGAAAGGCCACCACAACAGGCACGACGGTTTGGACAGAGCGGGACGAATGTGATACCCCGCTTGAGTGTCGTATCCGAACAGGCGCCCAAGAAGCGTGCGGTCCCCCCGCGTCTTGATTTGGCATCCACAGTATTCACCAAGGTCTCCAAGATTTGCGGATGTCTCCAGAGATCTCTCACAGCTCGCAGGCCCGTGAATACGTGTAGATATCTGCCGAGTGACCACGTCAATGCAGGCTGCGCACCGCATCATTGTGGGCGCCTAAAACCGAGTACGACGTGTCCCTGCGCTGCCGAGGGCAGAATGACTTGTCTCTCTCGCGATGCTTTGCGCCAGAAACCACTTCCCATACCGCATACACAAGCCACCGCCCTCGCTGTGCATTGCAGGCTGCATCGTGCGCTCCCCTGAGGCGGGTCTCGCATTGCCACGCGAGGCTAGATTATTAGCTCACACTGCCCCTGATCATCACGCGTTTGCTAAAGGCTTGGGCTAGTTGGATCTTTCTCTGTCCAACGCGTCTCCCACCACAACTGCAACTGCAAAACAGTTACTCGCTTCCAGTTTGAGCCTATGATCATCGTTGACGACAAGAAGGACCTCAGCCTCGCTCAGCCGGATCCGCAAGGCGCGTCCGGTAGTAGCTCTCAAGCGCCGCCGCCGCCTTTCGAGGCCACGCAGCCTTCCGCGTACAGCGACCTCGACTCAAATGTCTATGCGCCGCCTGGCGGCGAGGATCCACCTCCAGAGTTTGTGCCATATGATGCAGAGTACTTTCGGACGGACGATGGCACTATAGTCTCGCACGACCCGCATTTGAACGAAGATGGTAAGTTTTGTGCATTGTCCTTCGCACCTGTTGGTCTTCATCGCCTTGACACGCAGGCGAAGCATTGTATCGCTTCCTCCTGTCCCAGGCCCAGACACCACCACAGCTCTTCCTCCGCGTACGCGGAGAACACCAAGAACAACGCACCCGTAGCGTCCCCCGCACAGATGCTCAGGGCCGGACGCACTGGGACACGGAGACAGAGACAGTCACCGTAGTTGATTTCAACTTCACGATCGACATCTCTTCCCAAGTGCCCGCTGTTCCTGTCCACTGGAGCGTCCCAGACGAACAACCTGCGTACCGGGGAGAGATGTACCAGGAGGTCGATACTGTCACCTTACATCCAAGTTCGCGTCCGAGAGACATCGAAAGCCAGCGTATAGGCGGTAGAAAGCGTCTTAAAGCGACGAGAGAGGAGCGAAAGACCGCCGGGGCCTGGCAACACGAAGGTCGCGCGAGAGGTCTGCCACCCTGGATTGGGCCCGATGCAGGTTGGGCACCACGGAGTCAGGTTGCCATGAACAGCAGCCAGATGAACGTTTACAAATCCTCCAAGACTGTCCGTGAGTGGGCGGACGAATACTGCAGAAGCCCGAAGATTCTCAAGGAGTTTACGTACTCTAAGGTTCGTCTGCGTGTCTGATTTTGAGATATGGCGCGTCTGATTTACCACCCAGGTGATTCATGGCTGGAATTTCGACGCGCTTGAGGCTGCGGTAGTCGCCGCTGTCAAGTCGACGTACTACCAGGGCACCCTCTCGGTCAGGTTCGAGACGCACGCCGACCAGATCCATGTGCGAGCCGATCACTGGCTCGCGCGTGCCTTATCGGACAAATGGATCAAGTTTCTGCTCATTATCACCCTGATATACCCGTTCATCTGGCTGTTTAAACGGTCCGCACCTTCCGGGGGAGGAAAGTGGGGAGTTTGCGGCGCCGCGTATGCCCTCGTGTCCTGGCAACCTGCCCAACAAGAGGACGAGATCAGTGGGGCGCCTCCTCCCTTCTCGGACGAAGAACCAGGCTGGGTGGCCCAAGGCGCCAGCGGCGCTCAGAAGATGAAGCTGGTCGGTATGAAGGAAGGCGAATGGTTCCAAAAGTGGGAAGCTACGATCAAGCGTGCGGTCAGTGGGCGGTGTCAGTCAGACGTACCCCTGGTGGATCCAGATGCGCCCACACCCGCTGCACTGGAGCTCGATGGATATAGGCCATGACATTGGACACCCCCGAATTACGCTACATATGCACCGCACCTGCCTATCCTTTTGGCTACAGCTAGATACCACGCGATTTGAATATATCCACTTCACAGATAGGAACTAAATGGAACACCTCGAGACGAAATACTTGTAACCTCTATTGGTAGAATGGGATATGTCGTTGAGCTCGGCGAACTGACGGACCTCATGCTCGAGCTCGTGGACGTTCGGGCAGTGTATAACGCCGTGCCGATGCAGTGTCCGCACGGCTTCTCTCCACCACACCCTGCAGCAAAAGCGAGTCTCCTTGCCAACATCTTCGCTCGGAAGCTGCATAGGGATAGCTCGCAGGAGGTTGTGTATATACTCGGTAGTATGCTTCGCGGTGCATTCACCTGTGTGGCGCAGTAAGAGTTAGCGGTGGATGGCACTAGAAACGGCGCAGGCATGTGGCGACCGACCGAGTTTGACGATCACGCGGGCCGCAGGCGAGACTGCGAGGTTCTCGTCCGGAATAGGCTCCTCGTAAGAGAGGTCGTCCGCCGACTGCTCTTTGGCGTGCAGTTTCTTGACGTTCGTGGAGGAGTAGGGTATGCATATCGTCCAGTGGTACTTGTGCGACTGTGTGCAGAGAACGGTGCAGATTTCGCGCGGCCGGAGAGGCTCTAGCAGCGAGACTGGGGACATAACGGCGAGTCCTGGAGTGGTGCTGTATGGTCGAGAGGGAGGTGTTCCCGCCACAGTCCGGGGTGATAGGGCTAGTTATTAGGAGGCGTCATCCCGCACGCGGCCGAAGGAAGGCCGAGGCAAGCCCTCGACGCATTTGAAGTGCACGAGGAGGGGACTGTGTGTAGGAAGGTGCAGGATGCCCTCTGCCCGCTGTCTATCGGAGCAGACAGCGTCGTCCACCTAGATTAGACTTTCGGGCGGTTAAGTTTGCCCCTTCGGAACGTTCAGGAGTTTTCGGCCGTGAACAGGCGCACCTGGAGGGAGCAGAACAACGTGCCCGACGCTGGATATGAGCAAAACATCCTCCCGCGACAGTCGCCCGCGCTTGCCCATCACTTGACTCTCTTAATTCCTGTCCTCAGAGATCACCGACCGCGCCGCTGTCCGCGCAAACTTAAAGCTTTTTGAACTCGGCAACAATCAAGCATCTGGGAAATGATAGAATGCCGGTGGGCATGCAGAGACGACCCGTTGTGGGTGATCTACACGTGTGGCCATGGGCGGTAGAAAGGACTGGCAGGCCCTGATTCTGCTCTGATAGTCGACGCCTCACCGTCCGCGGGCAGCAGTACACCACGGCCACGCTCCCGGGCTGGTTATAAAAACACGAGGGCACACTGTTTGCTGTCGTCTCCCACGTCCATCTCCCTTTGGCAGGGAGTCGTAGGCCATCCCACACTCTTTCGACCATGCAAACCCACAGGACCGCCGGCCAGCCTCTCAACTACTTCCAACAGAGCCCTGTCCGAGGCCAGCTTGAGCTTTCGGATGGGTACGCGAGGTCCGGCTGGCGGTATCTGCAATGCACTGATACCCCCAACGAGCTACGGGTGCGCTGAGTCATTCGCATTTTGCATCTCCAAGGCGAGATTCATCCCAGTCATTACAGGTGCTGCTACCGCCAAGGACGTCGCTGGTGTACAGCTACCTACTTAAGGCCGAGATTCTTGAGCTGGCAAAGGACAAGGATGCTGCTTGGGATCGCATCATCCAAGTACGACACTTGAAGGATCGGATGATTCGCAAGTGCTCCCGTCTTGCCAAAGACTCGTCCAGCTACGACAAGAACACTGGTCGCATGATGATGTTCACAGTTCACGCACCTCCGGACTTCAGACTGAAGGAGATGGAAAGATGGTTCCGCGACCAAGGTTCGGACTTTGTAAAGCATGTTTCGGCCACTTCGACAAGTACTTGCAACAAGTGCGGCCCGCTCGACGTGGAGCACGCTCAACCTCGCAAAGCTGCAACCCAGCCCGCGGTCACAGCGATTAGCACGCGTACAGTCACTCGTTCCAACACCATCTCGACCCGTCCAACAACCCCGACGCGGTCGCGTTCGATGTCCCAATCAAAGCCGCGATCGCGATCGGCAGGCGAAGGCGCGCGTGCCCAGGGCAGGTCGGCCAGCAAGACATCGCAGGCAACACGAGTGCCGGAACGTGTCCCAAGGCGTCCGTCAAATTCATCAAGCGATACCGCCGTTGAACACGATCCGGAATCAGTACAGAAACTTCCCAAGCGAAAGGAATCGATCGTACAGCAACCGACACCTTCGAATTCTCGCTCGCCTTCCGCGTCCCGCTCGGCCAGCCCACCGGCTGTGCGCCCTTCTAGGGTACCCGAAGTTGTTCGGGAAATTAGCACGCCTTCTCCAGTCGCATCGCCTCCACAGACACCACCCACCGTAACCCCGCAGCGGTCAGAAGAAGATTTGCGCTCACAGGTATCTGCCCGCAGCGGCGCTTCAGCGAAGTCCCTCCTGCCTCGTGCCGCAATTCAGTCCCCAGAACCGCTTCCCATTCCTTATCGTCCACGTGAGCAAACCCTGTCCCCAGAACCTGAGACCACCTCCGATGAGGAGGAAGATGAAGACGAGGACGAAGACGAAGATGAAGATGAAGATGAAGATGAGGACGAAGACGAGGATGATGTTCGGGACGCTGCCGGTACCCCGGAACCGCAGGAACCTTACGGAGCACCTGCCATAGTCGAGATCCCGCGGGTATCGAGCCCGGACGACAGTACGTTGATCGATGCTCAGGCGGCCGACGCCGACGTCCCCCCGCCAGCGCAGAACGAGCCGCCATCGATGGGTCAGGCTCTGGATACGATCCACGAGCAGCCTGAGGTCGCCGAGCCCTCGCTAGGGCGGCCGCTCGTCCGCCGGCGGAGCAGCCTGAAGAAGCGGGACAGCATGAGCAGGCTCAGCGCGGCGAGCAACAGCAAGTCTGTAACGTGGGCAATGGACCGCGATTGGACGGAGCAGATGTCGAAGTTCATCAAGTCGACGAACGAGGCTGAGGTTACCGGTACGTCGTTAAACATGCTTTCGCGAAATGTTGGGAGCTGAGATTTTATATCTTTGTGTAGCTTACGAGCTGGGCGAGCTCCGTGCGCAGTACCAGGAAGAGATCGCCATGATGCGCATCGTCTGTCACGACGCCATGGTCGCGGTGGAGCAGCTTGGTTTGAATACTGGTACGCTTCAACGCGAAGCGCTTGCCCTTGCAGAACAGGAGCAGAAGGTAATCGTCATCACGGACCACATGGAGCAGAAGGAGGCCAGCTATAGGGAGAGAGGTGAGTCGTACGCAGCCCGTGCAAAATTCTGTCTAATATAGTCGCTGTAGTGCTTGGCGTGTTGGAGGAAACAAGACGCGTTGTCGCGCTCTGCGACAAGAAACGCGACCAGCAGGACGCGTTCTGATACCACAGCTGCCATAAGTATTGTAACACTAACTTGTACATTTAAGATATTACATAGACATACCACCACTCGTTTACGTTTCATGTTATGCGCTATGCTATGCTCTGATGTGTATAGATCCTCCTGTAATATACTATGTATGTAACATATACCGATGAATGCCAGCCCATAATATGCAGCGTTGGGTAGACCCGCCAAATGCTCATATATATCCTATTCAATAGCTAGACGTTGCGTAGAAGAAATATCAAATAGTTCTATGCTCTAAGCCAGTAAGTAAACGACACTAGAGCGATATGTGCCCATAACACGGCGGGAATAAGAATACGATATTGCAAGGTATCAGGGAACGATGAAATAGAGACATGTGACGGGTAGGTTGTCATCGAAGCGAGGAGCACGTCTACCAGTTCCGCTTTCGCCGCGCGTTGACCCACCAATACCTGACCAGCCCAATGTACACGGCGAGCACGAACAACGAAAGAGCGAGAACAACGAAAAAAACATTGTACTTATTACCGGCAGTCCTATTGTTATGGGGGACATTGACATTCATAGAGAAGAATCCTATGGCAGGAGATAAGCAGAGTTAATCACAGTAGAGAGGAGCACTTACCGATAATGGCCTGTACACAAAGAACAGCCATAGAGATAACTGACAGGAAAAGGATAGCCTTGTCACTTCCAGACTTGGCTCTGGACACGGACAGCCTCAGTTGTGTGAGGTACGTAGGGTGCGATTGGCTAAGCAAGCGCTCGTAGTGGGCCAAAGATTGTTGGAGAGTCAGAATATGATCTAGGGAATAATCAGATACTATGCGCTGAACAAACAAACATGACGAACCTTGAATGTCACCCATGTACACAAAGACATCTTCGTCATCGCCAGTTCCATTCCCGAGGCCGTTCTCGCCCGTCGTAAGTATGCGCTTTTTGACCTGGGCAACAACCTCGGACTTCGTCGCCAAGAATCTGGACAGGGAGGTGACCAGCCTCCTCACATGCGCGACACGATGAACAGTATTTGGGGCGGGGAGCTTCTGGGACTGCTTCACCTGCAGGTTGGACGAGAAGCGGGATAGCGTGCGGATGAACTGCTTGATACGCCGCAGAGACAACCCGCGATGTTTAGGAATAGAGAACTGCATTCCTGAGTGAGTATTGCTTTGCCCTGATTTCTCCAGCTTTTCTATCAACTCCGGCAAAAGCGTTTTCTCCTTTTCACGCGAAGGGGTTGAGTCTTCTGAACCAGCGAAGTCCGTGCTAGACATGGATGGCTCGGAGAGGCTATCATGCATTGTCGCTCGGTGCAAGCGCGAGCTGTCATCGGAAAAGATGAGGTTCTCGATGTTGATAATCTCCCTTTCGATCTCGTCAAGGAAGGGGAAGAAGGAGTCGACGATGGAATCGATGATACCGTGCGCAATCCAATCTGCAATTGCAAAAATTCTCAACAACCCTGAGAGTTCTTACAGCAGCGTTAGAACTTACCAGATGACATAGTAACGGTCCCTGATTCAGCTAAAGCAAGTACTTTGCTCCTGACAAGGTCCGTATGTTCTGAATTATCAAGGTTATCGGTCAGCAATTTGGAAAACCAGCGCTAGCGGCGCGCACCAGCTATGTCCTCAAAATGGAACTAAGCAATGCATTAGCGACATCGACTTGTCGACATGTGGGTTACTCACTGAGACGATACCCTCCCTGAATACAACCAGGTACACGCTAACTTCCGCAATGATGCTGCTCTCGATCAGGGTAGGGTTGACACTGAGATCGGTCAGTAGGCGTCGTTGCCGGCTCTTCTGGCTTTCGATAGCGCGGAAGACAACAAAATAGTAACCAAGTTTGGGAAACAACTCAAGCTTCTCTCGGGTTTCTCGTTGCAATATATCTTCCAATGCGAGAGGATGCAGTTGTAATAGCTAGATGGGGGTGAGATTACGAGAGCAGAAAAAGCGTAGAGTTCACATACCTTGCCAATCGCGCGCATGTCTTCCCATGTCGGACTGGCAACATCCAGCCACCATGCCTTGTCCAGATCTTTTTGCGAAAGCGTTTTTGAGAGCGTGATGGGCGACAGGGCTTGCACTGGTCCATCCATCGCCCTCTGCTTCCCCTTCCGCCGCCGCCGCCCTCGGGGGCCCGATGACGCAGGAACGTCGTCGGGAAGTTGATTATCGGGAATCATATAGTCGTGTACGAATATCGTAGGGTCCTGGGCTACCCCATCCGGAGGGGTGCGAGAATGGCTATCGCGAGACGTGCCATTGCTCTCCTGCGCGGCGTTCTGGGCTCGACGGATTTTCTGGTTATCTTTCAATGCAATGCTCAACTCTCCAACGATGTCAGGCAGAGAGGTCGTGCGGAGCACACCAGTCTCGTCGCGCTGACGACGTTTAGACCGACCTGGGGCAAGTTGATCGTGGAATTGAGGGGTGTATAGAACGAATTCCCGGGGGGCCTGCCTGGCCTCGGCTCGTGCCCTGATCCTAGCTTGAACTTCCCACTCAGACCTTGCGTATCGTGCTTCTGCCAAACTGGATTGGCGCCTCCTGCGTCGAGAAAGATGAGAGCGAGACACGGTGACGATAGACTGTTGGGTCGAGGACGAAGAGGATGAGGTCATCGAAAGGGAGTCTGAAGAGGATGTAGCCCAGTGTCGCGCCCAGTGGGTGATAGCTCGTTCGACCAGTCCTGAGATAGCACCCAGCCTGCCACCGAAGACAGATGAGTTAGAACTGGAGCTTGAAGATGACGAGGATGATGACGAGGACGCCACGGACCCCGGGCGAAGGGACCTTGGCGGTGAAGGAGGGCGGGGTGGCTCCCCGCGATAGATGTCGCCCGAGTCGTCTGAGTTGTGTTCATCCTCGAAGACAAATGTGTCAGGAGGAGCAGAGAAGTAATCTGCAGCCTGTTCCACCTCAGGCTGATGGAGCCGGGAAAGCTGAGGCAAGGGAATGGGATTGTCGATGGGAGCCATGGCAGCGTTGACGTCGACGACGGTGCAACTGCAATTGCCTATTCGCAGGCACCTGAGCCGCGCAGACGACTACGGTGCCATCGATAGATTTGAAGTGTCCAGGAGAAAGAACCGGCCGCATAAATTTCATCCACCAGGTAAGAGTCCAGAAACTGTCTCCCCCGCAAACTGCCTGCATGTTCCCGTCACGTGTCGGCGCTCGATAAATATACTCACAGATGTCTCAGGCATGGCGAAGGGACCTCTCCCGGCAATAAGATTTCTGCTATTTAAGGTGTTCTACGATACACATCGCTAGATGACGCATATAAAGGACAGTGATATGTACAAGCCTGCAGCTGCGACAGCTCCGCGAGACGATATTTTGTATACCGAATACAGACTGAACGCACGTTCGACTCCATGAACTCCATGGGCTCCATGAACTTCCGCGGCTCTGGCAAAATATGCGGCGCAGTGTATCATCGAACCGCACAGGTATGGCGGAATATCATCGAAATATTTTCGCCATCACGAGCAGGTGACGACCTCAAGTCATGCTCGCCGACGCCCGACGATGTGGCGAGCCACGCAGGAATATGTCAAGCGCTGAACAGCAAGCATTGTGCGAAAGTTTACAACGCACAATCCCACGTATTGACCATGTTCAAGTGCATTGGCCGAGTCCTGGATGGTTATGTATTCAAAGGCATGAGCTCTAACGCTGGTTACTGCGGCTTGTGAGTTGTGCTAGACTCGGCAGGGCAAACCATCTCCCGCGGTGCACTGACTTGCCTAGCCTGAGAGCATTCTCGGAGTGAAACGACGCTTGTGGAGGCGGAGACCTGTCCTAAGCAATGATCGGAAGAAATGTACAACACACTTAGGGCCACCCCCAGACCTGACCAAAGCGTTGCTCCGTCTCGAGAGCCTGCGAGAGTCGGGTTGGCATGCAATCCTCTGTGACCCTTAAGAACATATGCTATCCTCCAAGGTCGCCTAAAAGCAGATAGTGTTTTGAAAGTTGCAGGTCCGAAATACGTCGATATTGCTGGGTAGACTCTTGGCGGCAAATGGCCTGCGACCGGGGATGCATGAGCTACATGAGGTAGTCGAGGTAAGGGAGCGTGTATGAGTAGACGATCGTGAGCCCGAGTAGAGCTGGCTGGTTGGTAGCGTCAGATGCGTGTTCCGGCTGTGACTTGAGCTTGAGTTATGCGACCACGCAGCCAGTCGAGCCGAGCTGTGGGCAGACCCATGAGGTAGAGGTGGCCTAGAAGTAGTCTGAAGTAGTGATGTGTAAAGGGGAGAAGGGAGGCCGCTCGATCGGGTCGTAGCGATGCGGAGGCAGATTCGGGGGTCCAAGGCGCAAATTGGTACACAGCCGCTCCTCGAACTCCGACCACGACATCCTTGTGGCAGATACCGACGCGACCTCGTCTATCGATATACGACGCTGTTTCTTTCCGCCTTTCTCGCTAATGGGAGGGTGGAGAGTGCTGGGCCTTGAGGAGTGCGATGGAAATTTGAGGAGTCTCGTGAAAGGGCTATTGCTCGCGGTTCAGTCTTACTCTCCCCTTCTGAATCTTGCTAGGCTATTCTTCGCTCAAGCTTTTCTCGGAATCTCTGTGACAACTGGCTGGTTCTACTTCGCGATAGGATTCATCGAGGGCGTATCGGATAGATGGCGATGCGGAGATCGTTGAGAAAGAAATAGCGGCTGGGTCGATTGACGGACGAGCGGCTTGTGAGTCTTTCTTGTGTTGACTGTATCCTAACCTTCTGGCCCTTGAAAGGTGGAGGAAATCTTGCTCGAAGAGATAGCCTCTGTGCAGGAAGTTGGCACGACGGTGCCTGCGTTGTAGACGAAACTTTGAACGGATATTTGAATATTGAAAGCTGTCTGGCCTTTTCACGGGGGCTGACCGAAGCTTGTTGCCTTGTGCTCGGCACTGGATTGTCTTGGTATCTTCCCGCCACGAGCCTGAGGCTCATAGACTCATAGTGGTAAACGGTGCGTTCACCTCCTAATTCTTCTTCATTCTGCCACGCGCACGCAACCCACTTCTAGATTGCACACCGATATCAAAACATCCACGCTTGCCAGAAGGGATTCCTCGCCGGGCATGTCCTCCACCTTGAGATGCCTCCGCGTCACGTCCGTCACGGTCACAAACGTACCTTGTCACGTTCTGTCACGTGGCGCCGCTCGATGGGTACGCAAGGGTGGCTGGAGGCCAGCGTAGGTATCTCAAGGTGACAAGGAGCTTGAGCAGCGAGGGATCCTATCCATGCATCTTCTTTTAGGTGTTTTGAACGCATATGTGCACCGTCAGGACCGTCGGATGGAGTGCATATTGGCTGGACACTTGTGCAGACAAGTTTCTCGTCTGTATGCGTCCAGCCTTGCGCCTGGAGAACTCTTGCACGCATCAGCGATGTATATGTGTAAAAAAACGGGACGCTGAGCATGTTTCACCGCAATATGCGTCAGTGTTTGCCCGTGACCCTGGGTTTTCGTTGAGTCTTGCTATTTGTCCTTGACTTCCGTCAACATTGCAGCGCGATTTGGACTCGACTTCTCCCACGACGGCGGCACATCTTGATGTCCAGAGCACTTGCTAGCCGTTGTACTACTTCTCCTGGCTAGACTGTGTCACACCGAGATGGTTGTCCCACCGAGCAGAGATTGTCGCGCGGCGATTCCGGGGAACCTGCCGCCCCCTCTCCAATCAGCTCTCTGATTCGCCCGTTTCCATTTCTCCCACTCGCACCTGACTTGCTCTTGCCAACTTGAGCGAACCTCGCCCGCCCCTGTAACGTAAAAATCTCGCCTAGCCTCGGTCGCGACACTATAAAACTCCACCCATGGCCCCCATTTCTGGCCTGTGGCCGCTCCCCTGTTGTCTTCATTGCTTCGCTCGCCAGCATCGCTAGCAGTCTACCGGTCTCTCTGCAGCTCACGATGCCCCGTCAGGACGTGGAGAGCAGGAGACGTCACGAGGATGCGGTTCTGGGGAATGCGCTGGCGCTGCCATCACGTCTGAGAGAAGACGAAGAGGAGGAGTACGACGTGTATTTCTTCTGGCCGTCCTCGCCAACGTCGTGCGCTGCGCTATCGGAACGTCTGGCCCAAGGCGAGCTCGCCGATGCACGCTCACTTCGCCTTCGCACCTGGGCAGCTCCGTCAGAGCCGGCTCTCCAGCCCTCTTCTCCAGCCCTGCGCCACCTATACGGACGCAATGAAGACGAAAACGGCGCGTCTGCCCATCCATCTGTGTATCGCCCATCCGTCGACTCTCAGGACGACATCCAGCCCTCATTCGTCACCCCGGTACGTCACTCTGAATGCTTCCGCAGCACCTGTACTCACGGCTAGGCTGCAGCCACCGTCACCGACTTATTCCTTCATCTCTGACTACGTCTTCCCGGAACGTGAGCATGAGACCGAGATGGACGTCGCGGGGTACAGCAGGGTCTTCACGGCTGGCTTGACGTTGAAGGTGGGTCTTGTTTGGCTTGTGTTGGCTTGTAGATTGAAGAAAGCATGCGTTGACATATTGGCGTACTAGCCTTGCAGTCGCGCCAGATCACTCGTCACATTGGAGGCCTCTACCGCGACTTGCGGCGCGTTTTTGCCCGGTCGTCTTGGTTGAGTCGATTTACTTCAACTTAAGTGGCACGACCTCGAACTTCTTGCATCTTCTCCCACAAAAGCCTTATGCTTGCGGCTTGCCGATCTTCACACATATTGACGCTTGCGCCCACCGCTCATTTCTTGCCTTGTATTGCTCTCCACACATTTCTGTTCTTGCTGCTCCAGGATTGCTGTATCTTCTTGAGTTTTTTCTTGACTGTTTACTTCTTGTCACGCTGTCGTCAACTGCTATGCATAAACAAGCACTCTCCACTCGTTAATCACAACGATCCATAATAAGAACACATGCGTGTTGATGGCTTCTTGAAGCAGACTTTTGGCGAAGCATCTACTGCGGTGGGTCTTGACACCTCGTTCTCGAGGCAGACTATATTGCACGTCTTCTTGTCTTCTTATCTTCGTGGCTTTCTCATCTTCGTCACCTTTCTTGTCCGTCTTGAGCGAAGCGATTCTGGTCTAATTTTCGTTCGTGCACAAGCTCGAGAGTTGTCCTTGAGGCAATCGCACAACTTCACGAAACATGATAAGCCTCCATTTGCAAGGGTGATGGGGTGTACGAGTCGGTTGGTGTGCAAAGACGACGAGGGCGGGTCGCGTCGGAGGGTCGTCGAGAAGCGGCGCCTGCCCTGAAGTTACCCACGTGGCAAACAAGGGTGCCTGAGTTATGTCATGAGCATATCACTCCAGAACTTGGCTCAGCACTTCGAAAACGAGGCAAACGAGCAAGCCAAAATATTGGAAGCTACATATTCTCTACAAATACGCGCAAAGATCTATCTGGACAGAGTACTGGCGCCAGAAGGGAAGTGATAAAGTATGGCGTGTAAGCTCGGAAAATCCACTGTACAACGATAGGATGGTGGAAAGATGGACTTGAATACCAAGCTGCGGACGACCGCTATGAATGTCATCATAGTGAAGGAGAAGAGAGAGGGAGTATTTATAGTTTTTCCTTCGATGGTCGTCCTTCTGAGCCCATGGGAGTTTCAACGTCTCTGGCATGCTCACGCACTTCCCTCTCATTCTTCCAAGTGTTGCCTTTGCCAAGAAGGAAGCCAGGGTGCAGTAGGTTAGTGGTGTAGGTAGCAAGGGTAATCATGCCTCCGTCAAGCCAATCTACGCTGCTGGTTAATAGGATGGATTGCTAATGCAAAGACGAGGTGACTTACCGAAGTAGCGTTGTGTAGAGATGATGCGGCCATCCCATCCGTCGGAAAGTTCAATCGTACGATAGACAGAACTGCGCATATAGTCAGTACTATTTTCATGGAGTATACCGGGTTAAAGCTCGTACCGGATGAAGATTGTAAGGCTACTGAAAAACAAACCGAATAGCATGAGTTTGGCGTTTCTGTCGAGGAAGTGCGCGGAACTCGTCGTCGTTTGGATAGCCCGAACCTTGCGTATTGGGCGCTCGTATAGGAAACGAATAATAAACTCGATAGCGAGTGCCATATAGACGGTAATGGCAACTGAGATACAAGAGGTGAGCGAGGGCGAGTGAAGCAATCTGTGCAGAAATTTACCCAATTGGACGCAGATGCCAGCCAACATGATGTTTCCGCCCTATGAAGCGAGGTCAGCATGCAGAAACTTCAAAGATTAAGAATCACCGCACCTGATTTGGCGAACGGTTCCGGTGAACGGCAGTGGAAGCGTCACCGCCACCCACAGCTTGGATGATGAGAGCGGCGATGTCCTGTACGTGGAGTCAGCATTGAGCATGTCGTTAATTGAGCCGTTAGGCACGCACACATGTGACGAACACGATTGTATCTGTCCGCAGCACATCAGTCATGAGGTACGAGTATCAAGTTTCCAATTACTTACACCAGACGGCGCTGAGGCGGCTATACTGGGGTCCAAGTCGAGTACACCGCCGTCGTGTACGTAACTGACGGTTTACAATCAGAATGATCGAACAAACGCCTGACTGGTCTGATGCTACTCGGCGGACAGCCAGGAGTACAGGCGCGAATTCAATTTGCTAACCGTTAAGTCTCTATTTGTGCCTGACAGGCTAGCCGTTCGCCTAACAGATTCCTGAGCGTGAGGAAACGAGCTCTTCCAACTTGCAACCGTAGCTACGAGCCTACTTCCTGCTAATAAAATATTGGAAGCTTCCTGAGGGCAGTAACTAACCTTACTTGTATCTTTGTTGCATCCAAAATATTTTTCTCGCCACGAACGAAGGATGTGTCCAATGAAACGACTGACTTTGCGAATGCTTCAAGCCTTTGAGCCGGGGACAGCTTTGAACTCCGCTGATGCTCGGCATGCATCGGCATTCCCTCGGTGTGGTTCAAGCGCTTCTTGTCTGCCACGTCTCTTCCTCTCCCATCCTCCATTCACTTCGCGTATACCTTCACTGTATCTTCCTTAAGCTA